TTTTCAAGTTTGTACCTGTTAGACAGACGAAGCTGCGTGTTAGTATGTGGGGGTTGCCACACAGGTATCTTGCTTCACTTATTTTTCAAGATCATACCCTGATACATCAGTTGACATTCAACGGAGTAGACAGCATTATATCCCAGACGACAGAACTCTTCAAAAGAGGATTAAGCTGTGCCCCTGAGAAGAGATGGTTGTGCAGATATGGGTTGACAGGCATGCTCATCACACACCCTGATTTGACCAGAGTCCCAGTACTGAGCTCCTGTCTCAGTGTCCCAACCAGTACACAAATTTGACCCAGTTTGCAGTTCTATTCCTTCCAGCCCAGATTTTCTGCCTCAGCGACAAAAATCTTGCAACCTTGAGACTGATGCAAGTGATGATCAACTTAAAATCAATGTTTTCAGGATAAATGTAACTGTCAATGGGGGGAGAAGATGCCACCCTCCTTGGGAATGGGGAACAATTTGCCTTATTGGTAGTGTGAAGGTCATGTGCATGTCAGGAAGTACTCTTAGGTATTCAGTTTGCTAGAGACTGTCACCACATTCTGATGTTTAATGTGACAGTCATTTATAAGAGTTTCAAGTAACTATTCCCATAAATGACAAAATAAAAGTGTAAACTGGGCAAAAACATGAAAAAAGACTATCTATTTTTAAGAAAAATTAGTAATGATCATATTGAATGTTTGCATTGTGGATCACAATTCTCATTATGTCATGGCAGATGTACCGACATCAAGGACCATCTACAAATTACAATGCACACATCACTGATAGAAGCAGCAGTCAGCTCATCAATCATACATCAAAAACACAAGAAGTTCTGGGAACAACTAATCACCTACTTTCCTTTGTTATGACACAGACTTCATACAAAATGACATCTTCAACAATTCTTTGTTTCTGCAGGAATGTGTTTACCAAACCACTGCCTAGCAACGGTATGGGGGATACACATACAGACACACAAATTGATAGGAGAGACTTATAAAGTATGCCACTGAGATGGATCTAGGGGCCATGATATACATACCAAGTTTCATAAAAACTGGTTCTTGCATTCAAAAGTTTATATCAGGGGATGCAAACACAGAGAACAATGTGATCTTATAAGCCTACTTTCATTTCTTTTAAAAGTAGTCTAAAAAAGATGTGAATGATAAGGGCCTTATTATCGCTGCTGAAGAGGCAACTTCTTTCTGCCACTCACAGTTTAAGCTTCCAAGCATTGCATTGCAGTTTCAAATTTATATTATTTTTTTTTAAATAAAGAATAGGACTGCAAGAACAAAATGCAAAACTACCGTTATAAATGTACCTGCAGCAATGTTGAATAAAGATCTACATATAGAGTTAAACAATTCAGACTTTGTGTGTATTACAATTGATGCTTCTGACAAAAACGATACAAAAACTGTACCTGTGATAGTGCACTATTTCTTAGTTCAAGCAGGTGTAAAAGTTAAATTGCTCAAATTTAAGGATGTCCATGGGGAAACATCAGAAATATTAACAACTTGCACTTTCTTTCTGTTATCAAAGAACAGGAACTTACCAAAAAAAAATAGTAGGATTTTGTTGTGATAATTGTAACACAAATTTTAAAAGTAGAAATAGAAAGGGTAAAAACAGAACAAATATTTCATTTAAAATGGGGAAATGGACAAAATATAATTAGACTTTTATATGCAGCACACATAGTGCACAATTTCATTCAAAACGCAGTCAGTGTTTTATAATCTGCTACTGAAGACCCTGTTGTAAAAAAAAAAAGTAAGTTCTTTAAAGATATTGTTCATGTTTAACAGTTAAAAGTGTTTTGTGACTTTGCAGCCATAGAGTATGTATGAAAGGGTTTTGCAGCATGGCAGTACTACATTTCTGTCACTTCTTCCTGCTGTATATAAGATTTTTTTTATTGCTAGTGGGGTGGGACTAAGTCCCATGTACTGCGGCCACTTCTGACCTATTGTACCAGTCCCAGATAGGCAAGGGTGATTGTGGAGCAATTGGTAGAATGAAGATTGGCTGGGGAAACTGAAGTACTCGGAGAACATCTGCCCCAGTGCCACTTTGTCCACCACAGTTCCCACTTTTCCAGACCCAGGATTGAACCCGGGCCACCATGGTAGGAAGCCAGTGACTAACCGCTTGAGCTATGGCACAACCTGTATATAAGATACTACATATTGTGTATGAGTGACTGTAGACATGATTTGGGTTGGTGAATGGATTTATTGACCACTTACAGGTTGTAACATTATCGCTATTTCCACACTTTACAGTTCACTAGAGCACACAATCTAGTGTTCTCAGTCTGTTACTAGATGTTTCCTGGTACCTGCTCCAAAAATGGCTATTCCTCTGCCTACAGCTCAAGTTGTCTCTTCACCAATTCTTGTACAGAACTCAACTGAACTCACTCAACTCCAAACCTCCTGGTTATAACATCTTGGCACAGACCACACAGAAAACAGTTCTTTTATTGTTGCATACATTACCTAGCAATGGCTGCTGTTTACATAGTCACCGCTTAGCAACAAGTCTATATGCCACATTGCTCCCTCCTTAAGACTATTTGTCGCAAACAGACTACAGGCGTACTGACATTTCTTCTTTTCCGAGGGCTGTGCTTGTGACACCTGTGATTGGTCCCTCCTTAAGGCCACATGTCCTGAGCAGTCCCATCATAGGGTGCCAGTTGGTCCAGGTGTATCACCACCATCCTGCTTTTGTGATTAGTGGGGGGGAAAGCAACCTAGAGTGGCCAGTGTTCCTACATCTCTGGCTCTTACTATGTGTACAGTCTCATCTTTCATTTTGAAGATGGCTGACTCCTCCACAATATCCTAATGCTCATTTTCTGCAGTCCAACGAAGTCCTGACTATTTGCTTTGCGATCTCCAGTTCTATGGTCTTTCTGGAGGTCTTGTCGAGTGTTGTCCTGTTTCCCAGACATGGCTCATGTCTCCTGCTCCATCCTCTGCTGCTGCTGCCAGTTGTCCTCTCCTTCCTCGGACATAGCTGCTGTCTTGAACCTTGGTTCCTTATTTCAGTCATGGCACCTTACAGCTAGATGCTGGTCCCCATGCCATTTCTTCAGTGCTCCAAATGTTTTCACTGCAGCCTCTTCCTTAGGGACTTCCTCATGCACTGTTAGAGGCTCCTATCTCTTCTGGGTTTGCCTTCATCATGGCTATCTGTTCCACGAGGGCTACAATATGATTAAGTGATTCCATGAATATCCATCGCGTGAATGACAATCCAATGATGCACATTTCAGTTCAATCCAATCATTGAGTAAATTCAATCTAACCACTTCTGAGACCAGATATCATGTGTAGGGGTGACTATAGATCGGGTTTGGATTGATGAATGGATTTACTGACACACATGACTTGGAACTAGAACCAATTACAACACCATTGCTAATCTCCACAATTCACAAATCACTACAACACAAGCTAAGCCTTTTCCAGCCTGCTGTGTCCTCACCAGCCATCCCCTGGCAACAGCTTCTAACAGTGGAGATTCTTCAGCTTCAGAGCCTCCCTCCTGGTTAAAACATCTCAGCATGGACCACACAAAAAACACAGTTCTTCTATCATTGCCTGCATCTATGTTGTTGGCATTACCTAGCAATGGCCACTGTTTACAGAGTCACCACTCTGCAACTGGTCTATACTCCAGTATCCATTTTTTATCAAGATGTTTCTTGAAGAATCACATGGGGAACTATAATTATAATTTGTTTTTGGACAGCTCAATTTATTTAATAGAACAATATTATAGACAGAAAAAACTAGCCTTAGTGCAACAGAGGCAGTTTGTGAACTCAAAAATCAAAAGAAAACTTTGAAAGAAAGAAAACAGAACTGCTTTAATACACAGGAAGCTGAATTACTATTACAGAAATTAGAGGACACTGGAGATGTTAATTTCAGTACATTTATTGATGGAAGTTTTATTTATGGAAGATGCATATCTTACACATTGATGTGGGAAGAAGTTTCTCTTTTAACTGAGTTCTATATATGGAAAAACAGTGAATTTATTTGGACGAAACTTCAAAAAAGCTGCTGAAATTATCAATGAAAAATATGAAGAGGCAATAATTCATACCTACAGCTTTTCTGATGGAGTAACATCTGCAAAGTGCTTTATGTTTGACTGTGACACTGAGAGACGAAAGCGATCGCATGTGAAGAAAAACCAGTTGAACTTTTTAACAGTTTTCATGAGAAGCATATTTCAGTTGTTTGCCTTGTGAAAGTTACTGAATTTATCTTTGGCTTATCTGGAACATCAGCTCCTGCTGATCACCTATTCTCAGTTATGAAGAACATATGACCCCTGGATAACAGTAACATGTTTGAAAGTACTGTACAAGCACTCCCGTTTCTCAAAGTCAATAATGAAATAACATATTGGGTATTTTCTAAAAAAAACTTAAAATAGCCATACAGTTCAAGAGAAAGTAACTTATAGTGACAAATATTGTGGTGTATTGGCTCTATGCAGGAACTGTTGAGCCACAGAGGCCTCAGGGCACATGCGCAACAGGAGAGTTGCAGATTGTATCGGCGCGTTGCTAAGCGACAGCTCTGTGAACGCTTGGATAGCACAACAGGAAGTGTGAGTGACATCACATATCCCCACTCATCCCATTACTACGTGATGCGTGGGTAGACACACCTGACAATACCTGATATCTGTTGCCAAGCAGCAATGTGTTTTCTATGTGGTCTATGCCAAGCCTATATAAGGAGCAGCGAACTATTCATGCAGTATTGAGGATGGAGTATTTTGGAGAGTACTGGGAGTACCTGAGAGATCGTAGAAGACCTGTGAAAATTTAAAGTGTGATTTAGAAGACTTTATGTGTAAGATCCACAGTGGATTATAAGGTGTATGTAAATCAGCGATAGCGCTGTGATTTGAGTGTAATTGAGAGAGTGTGTGTGTAACCAAGCTGTTAATAAATCCTATCATCCGAACTAGAACCCATCATTTCATCACGTGTACCCCCCTATACGTGACAATATGGTTTCCAAATAACTGAATAACTTTTTTGTACTGCAAAATGACTTCAAATAAAAATGCTGTTTGATGCAGTCTCATATTTGTTTATTCTGCTAAAAACACATCATTGTGATACCTGCATATGCAAGGGGATAAGAAGTTGGCCTCCTAAAATCAGTGTCCCTGTTTGGTTGCATGAAAATATGGTAAGCCTATGACAGGTGTCTGGAGAGGGCAGCACTGGTACCCTAATATGGGGCATATAACTACATGGCCCAATGGAGAACCCAACTACAGAAGCCTGTAAGAGATGCTTCCTATGATTTCACGTCTTAAAAATTAAACATGACTGAAATGTACATAATTTAAAATGTGAAAAAGAAAAACTACAATACTGAGTCTTCAGGTGCCACTAAGTTTCCATCATCAAGGAGGGCAATTTTCAGCTTCTGTTCCAGTTCCTGTTGCTTACTGTAACATTCATCTAACCACCCAGACAACTTCTGGAGTGCAGTGTTGACATTTTCAGCATTCATGAAGACAAGCTGCTTGGGCCATTTTTTCTTAACATCACCATCTTGGGCAGACTTCCTTTTCATACAGAGGCCTGCTTTCCCATCTCTTGCAACATCATACGCTGCAGTCTGTTCCTCAGTGGGATGATAAAACATTCCTGCACAGGATGAAGAAATGGTTACCTCTCTATCATTTGCTGCACAGTAACAGGTTTAGTAGTTAAGCTTAGATGGGAGGATAATATTAAATAGAATTTTAGATATAGTGTGTGAACTAGATTTTTCTGGCTCAGGACAATCTGATGACATTCTTTTGTGAAAATGGTACTGTACTGTATTGTACTGTAGGCCTACAATGTTTTCCTATTTTTGCTTCTTTTTGTAACACCCCATCTACTTACCTGTCTCATTATCAAACTCATTCATAACTCCAACAACACAAACTGTCTACAGTTTTGCAAATTAAAAGAAGTGTTAATTTGCCATGTTAGTCAAAGACATTATATCATGAATAATTTGAACTCTTTGATCTTACATAAATAAAGCTATATTGAACAGAGGATGTCTACATTTACATCATACTACTGAAAGAACTGGCTGCTACTCACTCCATTTCCTTCTGAGACTTTACCTCTGGAAAGAATAGACATAATAATCAAATCTATGCATTTTTCTGACAACAGTAGGCAAAATGAATTCAAGGATGTCCAAAACTTTTCAACATTTATAGAGATATCCAGCACCTACATAACAAATTCCAAAATCTGTATCTTCTGAACCAGAACATTGCAGAAGATGAGTCCTTGACACTATGGAAAGATTATTTGTTTTTCAGACAATATATACCCCTCAATAATGCCAAATCTGGCAATAAGACATGAACTCTGTGAGTCTAGCTCCAGCTACGTCTGGCCTTTCCCCATTTACACTGGACATGGCATGAAACTAACAAATCAGTTTGTAAGTGCAGAAGGGCAATTTTTATAATTCATGGTTTATGCTAACCGTCTTACAGTGTATACACTTTTCCATCTTATTCTTCACTTCCACACTACATGTTTCAGCACTGATGTGCCATCCTCAGGTGTCTTTATGCACGTTAAACTATTGTATTGCATGCCATGATGTCTTCATTCTAAAATGACTAAAATCTGTATTCGTCATATATGTCGATGAATTCTAAATAATAAAACTTTTCAGGATTATGCCAATCCTCTTTTATGTGAGCATTCTTCCTACATACATTTTTGTATCGTGTTCTGTGTTGTGTTTTGCTCCTGTTACTGCACGTGTTGTACTGCTGGATATGTGTGTGTCTAGTTTAACGTGCATAAAGACACCTGAGGATGGCACATTAGCGCTGAAACATGTAGTGTGGAAGTGAAGAATAAGGTGGAAAAGTGTATACACTGTAAGACAGCATAAACCATGGACATAAATCAGTGTAACAGGACGCTAAAATATAACATTTTTATAATTCACCAGAGATGGTTTGGTTCATGAAGTACAAAATAAAACAGGCTGTGTTGGAACTTTATGTGTTTACAGGAAGAATGTTCCTCCTGTAGTGACAAACAACAAATAGAAGAAAAGAGAGCATTATCATCAACACTCAGGAGATGTGGCAAGACAAGGAGTGACTGACTATGATGTCTACATACCACAGAGATGAAATGTGTGTGACTATAAATAAAGAGAACTAAGAAGAAACAATGCCTGTGGTTGTTCGTAGTTACACTGTTGATGTGTTGGAAATGGATCTGAAGGATCCAATGCTACAGCCACACTTGCTGGAATGAAAGAAAGGTACCACGTGGCATTTGGAATTATTCTAGACAGTACTCGAGGTAACATTATGTCATGCACTGGTCACTCTCAAATTACTAGTCACCTGCAAAGAGGGCTGCGTTACCATTCTTGATTTCACCTAGTTATCCTGGTAGGTCATTGATGACCACACTAGAAAGGGTGATTTTTGTGATCACTGACTGGGAGAGCCTTCTTGCTTCCCTTATATTTTTAGGTTTCATTTTTTACCTCTGTTGCATAGGAATGTTGAGTAATGAAACAGTGGAACCATCCTACATTTTACAGCATAAGTTTCACCCTCTGAATACAAGTCAACAAAGTACGGAAGCACTGTTTCTGTTCTGTCACGAGAATAATTAACATCCTAACTAAACACAATAATTTGCTGATTTTGAGCAGTATTTCCTGCAAGTTGAATGTGCCAGAGAAAGGAAATTTTGAGTTTCCAAGTACCAGTTCAATCTTGTGCTGACAAATTATTTCACAGTTTTAGCTAGGATACTTATTAAGGATGATGCTCAATAGCTGGATAGTTCTGAAGCTGGTTTCTTGGTTTTCTGTATAGGAACAATGACTGATTTCGTCCATAAACTCATGTTTTCCAAATGTCATTAAATAACTGTATACATATGTGGTCTGACAATAAAGTTCACAAACTCGCCATCATGTGCTTGCTGTGGCAGCAGTGGACAGAAACCTCAGTATGGTTTGATGACGCTGGCATATCAGCGTTTCACAGCTGTGATGTTGATCTATGCCAGTCTATTTCTGAGTGGCATATATTATTGTCTGAATGTGTTCTGATGTGTTGTCATGAGAATGTTGGAGCTTCTTGTTAAACTTAGCAAGAGTGGAAGCAAAATCAGAGAGATGTTGGTGCAAGTTTATGGGGATAATGCTATGAAGAAAACAGCGGTTTACAAGTGGGTGACTCAGTTTCCTGAGGGAAGAGAAAGGATCACTGACGAAGGGAGATCAGGACAGCCAGCCACGAGCAGAACTGAAGAAAACATTGCAAAAGTTCATCAAACTGTGCGTGAAAATTGTGGGCTGTCAGGAGCATAGCATAGCAAGCAAACGCCTACAGAGAAACAGTTAGGAAAATCTTAACTGATGATCCTGACATGAGGAAGGTGTGTGCAAAAACAGTCCCAAAGGAGCACTGTCTGTGAGGGAGTTTTTAGCTAGTAAACAAATAACTGTGCTGGAACACCCTCCCTATTCATCAGATCTAACCATCAATGACTTTTTTTCTGTTCCTGAAGATAAAGGAAATATTGAAAGGAAGGTATTTTGATGACACTGATGACATCAGGAGTAATATGATGGCAGCTCTGAAGGTCATTCCACAAAACCAGTTCCAAAATTGTTTTGAAGGGTGGACTGGGTGCTGGAATTGGTGTATAGCTTCCCAAGGGGAGTGAGTACTTTGAAGGCAACTACAGTGATATTCAGCAATGAGGTATGTAGCACTTTTACTGTGATGAGTTTGCGAACTTTAGTGTCAGAACATATGTGGTGAGTGCCAGTGGACCCAAGGGTTTTAGGAATTCTGCCATAACAGTCGGGACCAAGACTGGCTTGGGCCAGATCACGAAGTGTGATGGCAGAATTAAAGCTGTCCTCTTGATTTGTGTTCCTACACTTCTGCTTTATAGGGTGTTTCAGGTGTTTTTCTTCTTTCTTCAGATGTTTAAAAATTTAATCAGCAGATGTGTAAAAGGATGTGAAGTATTTTGCTATTGCCATGTCTTATATTCTGATGAATTCTTAAAATTTATGGGTTCTCTGTGATTTAAATTAAGGTTGTTATTAAGTGGTGAGATTAATTCTGAACTTTTGAACTATCTTTTCCATCATCCAGATTTTTCAAAAGTTTTGAAACGTTTATTTTTTATATGAAACTATTTGTCAGTTGAAAAGTGCTGCTTTCTCTCTCCATGCTTGTATGTATATCATTTTTGATCCTTTGATAATTCTGTTTCTTTACTTGCTATTTTGCTGTCATTTCTTAATATTGTCAGTAGATATAATCAAAAAGACTTACGTTGTGGAGCTCTACCCTTCGGTGTCTACTGCTTTGCAGCAAAAGGAATGGAACTACAAAATTTCTCACAGTTATCAGGAGCTTCAACTTGAAAATTCAAGTGGGCGTCTGAAATTTTTTACTCAAGCTCTTCTCTCTACTGGGAGCCATCAAAATGTAATCAGTATAGTAACTGAAGGCTGAGCAATCAGAGTTTGAATTCCAACAGGAGCAAGATTTCTCTCCTCTCCACATCATCCAGACGGGTTCTGGGTACCAGGGCTCTTTCCTCAGGGGCAAAGTGGCCAGGGTGTGAACCTGACCACTCACCTCCAACTAGTGGAGGTCAAGAATACATGGATCCATACATCCACTACCCAATACATCTTCATGCCATAACACTCCATTAGTTAAGAACAACAATTTTACCTTCTTCTCCACATTTATGCCATATGTCCACACCAATAATTTTTCTTAAAGCAAGTTCAGTAATATCAGTGGATGCCTAAGTGAGATCTAGATTTGTGACAGATCTTCAATTACATAAAGTAATTCAACATTATTTTCTGAAATAAAATCTTCCACTGTCTTCCCTGCTTCATCAACATTTTTTACCCTGCATCATGGGAATGCGCACTGATGTCTCCAACAAGCATTTGTCTTCAAACATCCAATAAACTGAGAGCAGGGTTGTTTTTGAGGGGGGATGTATATTTCAAATACTTTAACATGTTATTATTTTTCCAGATAGTCAAGTTGATAATTTCTGCCTTGTCAACATCATTCATATGCCTAACAGCAATGAATATATGCCTCAGTGGCTAGCAGGTTCATATAAGAATGCCACCAGCAGTTTTCCTACATTTAGGGAAGGAAATTTAAATCACAATTGTTTAGATGGAAATATTTTACATTCTTTTCTCTTACACTGGCTTCAATTACACAAAAACCATCAAATTCTACACCATCCAAGATCTTATGAAATTTGGCCTTCTTAGCTTGGTTCAAAACACCAGCACTCCATTGAAAAACGGTGACTCTATTGCAATTATCTTTCTGCCTTGTATCTCCCAGACTAGTTCCTGCCCAGAGATCTGAATGGGAGAATATTTTACTTCAGGCAGGTCCATGGCAAATACATAATAGAGATGTTTCTTTAACTTTCTTGTATGTCATTTTACGTTGGCATCATTATAAGTATATATAAGGTAGCAGCCTGTATCACCCATTTGATTTTACAGCATTTCCTCTGTAAAAGGTGGAACAGTTATACTGCCATGGCTTGTCTGTAGAAACAGGCTGCACTGCTTGTAGGTAGAGTTGGGAATCAGATAAGAGAGCTTATAGATCATATCTACATCCCTTGCAGCCCTAATTATAATCTCATATAGTTAAAATAGAAAATAGAAAAATAATTATTTTTAGCAAAAATTTAATGGGCATTTAAAAATAATACTGCAGATCACTTACAAGTGTGATATTTAAATGCCTGTGCTGAAGAGTTAATTAAATATATTATACGAAATACAGAGAGACAGGAATGATACAATGATACTTCACCCTGATGACATGTGTTGAAAAACTGTTCCATTGTCTGAAAGCAGAAACTGAATATGGCTCACCTTTCTCTTTTATGATATATAAGTAATACAACCACTGATTTTCTATGAATCTGGATATTTTTTCACGGTTCACTGCCACCATTATTTTACGTTCTCCTTCCTCTTGAGACAGGTGATCTCTAAAATCCAATTGCCTCAATTTGTATTTTAACAGCACCTGAAAAGTACATCATAAAGAATTATAACAGTTGTACAACTTACTCTTTTAGTGACATCCTGTTCTCTGAATTTTGGCATCATAAACAGATTCCAGGATTTCTTCACTGCAAAAACCTATCAAATCCCCTACACAAATTATGTAATAATACTTGACATTAATGCATCTGTGGAATTAAATGTTTGGTGATTTTGATGAGGATACAAACAAGTCCAAATCTCATGAAAGATATGAAAAATGTTACTTAAGTGCAAATCACACAAAAAATCAATGTACACTGAATGAAGAAAGTGCCAGTTGGGAGGATGCCAAGCTAAGAGAGTTCTGTTCAGTACATATCTGCTATACTGAAAATTTAAGGCCCTTTTATGAAAACTGATTTCAGACTTCAAAATTATGTAAAATGAAGAGGGAAATAAACAGAAATAAATAGGATTATTATATAAGCAGTGCTGAAGACAATGTATACAGATCTCAAGAAAGATGTGGACAGGAGATGACTATGGGCTGTTTAACTCTGATAACTGCATGTCCTTGATCATCCTGTACATCTCTGCCTGTTTGGCTAGAGGGAGCCCCTTCAGGGTTGTCAGATCAGTCGGGCCTCTCCAGCACAGCCTGTCAGTAGTCACTTGCTCTTTAGCACAGAGATATCTTTGTACTTAGCAATTAACTTTCCCATTCTTGCATTTCTTCATTGCTGAAGTTTGGCATGGCAATAGCAATCATGTTCTGTAACTGCAGGACAGTCTCTTGGGTCTGAGGTTACGCTATACTGAGTGGGGTCACCAGCACGACTGCTTCGCAGTGTGTCAGGGGAATCCTTTTGTTAGTGTCTGGTCTTAACAGGTAGCACTCAGGACCCTGACAGGTACCTTTGGCCGATTCTGGACCAGAGCCCTGAGTATGTAGTCCTTTAGGAGAGTGCAGACCTCCAGGCTCAGTTCTAAAACGCCATTTTATGTTCTGAGGGAGCTTTCCAGTTGTGCTACCACTACTTCCTCGCACCATGATGGTATTATGTGGTCACTGTCTACCACTAGGTGGGAAGACTACAGCCATTCCTGGGGGCTCCATACTGATACTTCTACACTCAGTTGCAGTATGTGGTGGCCTAGATTTACAAACACATCATAGGTGTGCAGCATATCAAGTCCCAAGATTAGTTAGTTCATCCATGATTTCTGCAACAAGCAACCAGATGTTTAGAGGTCCATCCTATGGTCAGTTCCACTAAGGCTTCCTTCAAGACAGAGAGGGTCAACCCTGATGCCATCCACAGCATGTAATGTTGGCTTGGCTTCATTTTGGGTCATCCTTCAGCAATGCGTGGCGTAGCAATAGTATCTGACATTCTGGTGTCAGTACTCATGAAGCATGGTTTGTCGCCAATCCAGCCCTGGGCAATCAGACTATTATCGCACCTCTCGGTTATGATGCTGAATGCAGGGTGGGGTGTGAATGGAGATGCCAGTGTTCCCCTTTTCCTGCTGGCTCCTGCACATTTTCCAAGTGTTGGTCATCTCATCACATCAACTCCCATTTACTTCTCATGCGCTGTTCATCCCTTCTTGTCAGAACCCTGTCGTTTCTCAAGCACCAGCCATCCCTTCTCAAAAGCTCTCTTTCCCACCTCCAGTTCTGGTTGTTTCACATCAAGCATCACTGTCTTCTTCATCGGTTTTGTGGGGGCAGTCCTTTCAAGAGAAGCAGGTACTTTCACTTGGACTTTCACAGGTACTTTCACTAACTGTCAGTTATCCCTTCGTTCTGCTGGAGGGGACTGGCTCTTCCAGAATGTCCTGGCCATAATTTGCTGAACCCTGGAGGGCATTCCAGCTGCTATGTCAGCTGCCTCCAGCTCAGAGGCCTCACTGAGTGTCTTCTTGCTCCCCAAGAGTAGCTATCATCATTTCTCGCTACCTTATCCCATCGCAAAATACAAAGGAGGCTTCTTTACTAATTGGGTGTCCAGGCAGATCAACATGGGAACAGTGAGTCAAGCAGTCAATGGTTGAAGCAAGCTCCTGCAGGGATTCCTCAATGAGCTGGGTCCTTCCTTCCAGTCGATTGTGGAACGCTACTATCAGGTGGTGATCACTGTAGGAATTCTGAAACTTCTCATAAATGAAGTTCGCTCCTTCAAGGTTGTGATCAGGTATGTGGTTTCCTCATAGGGTGTCCGCTGTTCTAGTCCAACACTGTCTCGAACTGCCATCAGAACACAGCCCATGATATCAATATCTTGCACTTAGGTGGCTGCACTGAGCCTATGCCTGTTTCTGTTCTCCCAGAAGATCAGCAATCTGCTCAGGCTTCAACTTCTCCTCACCTGGTCTAGAGCCCATGCTGTGAAGTTTGTACTAGAGTCTTTGTTGTTTCAACCTCAACCTGTGCTCCTTGGACCATGAGGTTTAGCTTTACATGAAGGTCCTCCTTTGTGTCCACTATCTCTTCATGGATCCTTCAGTTCGGTGTATTGAGGAACGTTTGTAACCTGAGCCACATTTCTTCAATCATCAAGTTTAGTTAATCAGAGGTCCCGTATCCATTAGTCAACAGACAACAATTCATCTCCCACCCAATTTTTGATGGTGTCTTCCAGTTCGGATAGAATGGAGTTTACTGTGGCCTTCATCTCTTCCTGGCTGGTCTTTATTGTGGCCCCATCTGCTCCTGAATGGCCTACACTTCTTAACTTGGGTCAGTTGTCTTTGACTGGCTTTCATTTCCCCCATGCTGGCTTCATCATGACCTCCATCTTTTCTTGATTGTCCTTTACCTTTTATTGAATAGTCTCAACACTTCTTGGCAGGCTTTCATCCCTTCTTAACTGGCACCTATCTTGGCCTCCAACCAGATGATCATCTCAGACATTACACATTCTAACATGCCACCTGATGGGGCTACCAACTTCAAAAGAGGATCCACTTCTTACATGGAATCTATCATTCACAAACCTTTCTATCATTCTATCATTCATTCAATTCGATAATTCAAATCAGACCAAACCAATCCCACTTCTGACAATAGTTGTCATGTGATACTGATGTGACAGGGGTTTTGGAATAATAATTGGATTTGACACGTATAATTTTTAACTACAAATGATGAACACAGTCTCATTAATATACACACTTTATAAATCACTACATCTACAGCACACATTCAGTCTTTTCTCTGTTATTCTGTCATCACCAGTCATTACTAGGTAGTGACTCATAAAAATGAGGACTGCTTGCAGCCAAACATGAACTACCACTGCTTGCTTACAACTGAGCCAGGTCAGGTAAATTACTGCTGGTCCCTGCCAGCACTGTCATTCTTGGTTCTGAGCCCCATGGCTCTGAACGACTGATGAATGCTGCTGCTGGACCTTCCTATAGCCTTGGCATGGGTCACACAGAAAACACTGCTTCCAATAGTTTCTCTATTATTCTGTGTTGATTCTTTGCTGCAGAAACATGTTTACTGTGCCGTTACATAGCAATGGATACCTTTTCTTCTTCCCCTACTCCAGCTTTCAGTTGTCATGTCACATTGTTGTGTCAGCATATGTTGCTGCCTATCAATGATCACCTCTACTCATTCCACTATTCTAGCTTTCAGCCATCATGTGACAACACAGCAGATGGGACAAACGATATTACATGTATCACTTGAATAAAAAAAGGAATAAAGACTTGGAAGACTTAAGAGTGGAATTTATTTATGGTACTATGGAAAGGTGTGACAATACATTATACTGGACAAGATGCTGGTCAATCTGGCAAACAGAAGTCTATCAAAACAAGAATAATTGTTCTGTGATATTCAGGTCATTTTTTTAACATGTACATTATCATATGCTGCCATAAGAGTGATTTTGTGCTGTGCGCCATAAAGAACAAGCAAAGTAACAGATTAAATTCACAGAGACTAATAAAAACAAAATAATGATCTCCTGCACACAACATTCTTTGTTCCATTATTGAAACAAGCACACTAGATCACTGTGGTCACAGTGCAAGGGCCAAGAGGGCCCACCCTTGTACATTCATTCATTCATTATTGAAACAGATCACTCCACAATAAAAACTAATGACATATTACCTTAAATATTGCAATCCATGGAATAGAGCGCATGGCAGTAACACTCAAGTTACAGTTACAATCTTCTGTGTTCAGCTTATGAAGGCAAACATCAATTAACCTAGAAAGAGAAATGTTAACATACTGTAACATGTTGCGCAACGGAGAACCCCTCCCTACCCAGCAGCAACGTGGCAACTCAGGCCACAGGCGCGTGGCGGTAACATAGCGCTCCCTCCCCCCCCTCTGCGGTGACGTAACACGCAATGCTACGTACCCGTAATCAACTTCCTACTGTGACGTGGAACGCAACAGGCACCACTGCGGCTATATAAGGATACTGCACAGCAGCTACCAGTTAGTTGTAAAGTAACAGTCGCCGAGTCGAGTTGTACTGTGACAGCCACCGAGTTGTAACCTGGCCATCGCCGAAGACAGTTCCCAGTTATAAAGTGACAGTCGCCGAGTGTGTTATCAACAGTTCTCCAGTCAGCCGACTACTGGTGGAGTATAGCAGCCGTCGCAGAAAGAAGAACCGGACGTGTGTGTAATTGTGTAATTAGGAGCGTGTGATACAGTGATACATAGCTCCCCTACTGTAAACGTGTAGACTACTGAAGCCAGAGTGAACTGATTTGCGCATAGGGTTATAAGTCGTGAAACCCCACAACTGTGTGATAATTAATTGTAGCTGTTATTTGTAGATTGTTAAATAAACCAATTAACCATCTCTACGGCGTCTTCGGTAACGAAACACGTTACAATATATTCACATCACAGTTAAGACTGCGGATCTTCTCAATTTGTCTTTATGCTCTCAGTGATATACATGGAGTGAAAATGTGTATACCTAATCTGAGTTGAACTTGTTCAAGTCACTGTTTTATACATATTGGTTAGCATATAAATCTGTTGCTTCACATAGGTGTCGACATTAGCTTTTCATACTAGAGTATTAAGAGAGGTAGGGGATTTTTGAGAACAGGGTCCTGAGGAAAGCATACAAGTCTAAGAGGAATTATTGAGAGGGTGGAGAAAACTTTACAGCAAAGAGCTTCATAATTTCTACTCCTCACCAAACAGTATTTGGGCAATCAGATCAAAAGGATGAAATGAACACAACATAAAGCACACACCGGAGAAACGAAAAATTCATACAAAATTTTTGATGGACAACCTGAAGGGACACGACTTCATAATCTAGGCACAGATGGAAGGATAATATTAAAATAGCTCTTAAAGACACAGGATAAAAGGATGTGCACTGGATTAATGTGGCTGAGAACAGGGAGCAGTGGCATGCTTTTGTGAACACAGTTATAAACCTTCTGACTCAACAAAGGGAAATTTGACGACACGGAGCTAGTTAGGTCAACTGAAAAGTTTCTTCAAACAACTCAAAACTCCACTGATCCATGCTATTAATTGTGGCACATCATGAATGCTATGTGTTAAAAACATTTTTATTTACATATAAACCTTTTCCACTGTGATGGTGTTAATTTAACATGTCACTGAATCACTTTTGTTGTGCTTCATATGCTTCTATGTCATTATACACTTTATGATCCACCATTTTTCATTCACATCAAAAAATAATTGGGGACCCTTGGTTTCCAGGATTAATGTTGCAGACACTGGTTGATTTCATCTAATTCATAAATACCTTCCAGCACATTATCCACATTTAAAAATATTGGACTTTTCTGAGAAGTAGTGGGTCTAGAACAGGGTCCACTCAGTCTGGTGAGGATAATTCAGAGCTATTGCAAGGAAATGGCGGCTCTGGTCTAGAAAATGGAGATTAATGGCCATGGGGATCCGCTGCACTATCCACCAAATTTGGCACTAACTTCGCCAACAAGTGGTGGTCACTTTGTCAATATAGTCTGCTTGCAGATTACAGGCCATGGAGTTTGCCTTGTTTGGATAATGTTGTAGCATCTGTACAGGGGGGTCTGTGTCAAATGCTCCATCATTTGCTAGGCAATGTTTTGGTAAACATAGCCTGAAAGCCAGAATATTAACGAACAAGCAGAAGCACGTTTGCTAGGCAATGGCTCACTAAAACTCATTCTCATGTGAACACAGCTTCAGCAAAGGTTTCCACGGATACAAGGAATCTTGGGATCACCAGGCGTTTCAGCTACAACGGATACAGGAGACCAATAGCTTCCATTCAGTCCTCCCGAACTTACAAAAGAGAGTTCATTTGTGAATTCAATTCATTCCTTGTAACAGAATTCAGAAGACAGTTCAATAGTTGAATATTCAGCTGTGAATTGTTAACCAGCTAAGAATCATTACCAAGCAACAAATAGCAACCAGACAGTGAAGAATTTATTTTGTGTGCTATAGTTACAGTGTTACATTTCAGAAATAAGTTTTTATATGTTTCTCTATATTCATGCTGTCGTTCGGCATTTAACTTTGTTTGTTTGGGTACTATATTACAATTATCTTCTTCTAATCACATCCTTTTCCTGTACTCTCTCATATATGCAGAATGACTGTTACCAGCAGACATCTTATGAGTATATGATGTCATATGCTGGAAGCTTGCCTAGGGTATTGCATCATCCACTAAACAGTGGAACTGAATTAGCCGTATTTGTTACAAATGGTCATAACTCCTAAACCATAAGCAATGGACCAAAATGGATGGCATTTTTGAGCTCACATTTATTAATGTATTTCACTCACAATATATACAGATCAATCTATGTGCTTCGCTGTGCACATTTCCAAGGTAACAAAATCAACAACAGAATGTTTGTTACTTAGTAGCAATTTTATCAGTAATCACAAATTGCTATCTCGTCACCAAAATGCAAGGCAAAATCATGACATAAAGATAGGAAGCAGATGTTTTGAAAATGTGGCACAGTTCAGAAATTTGAGAACAAACATAACTTGTACGCTTCTCCAAGTATAATTGGAATTATCAAGTGAACGAGGATGAGGTGGGCAGGGCATGTAGCACGAATGGGGGAGACAAGGAGTGCATATAGGATATTGGTGGGAAAGCCAGAAGGAAAGAGACCACTGGAAAGACCAAGGCATAGGTGGGTGGACAATATTAAAATGGATCTTAGAAAGACAGGATGGGATGGTATGGATTGGACTGATCTGGATCAGGATAGGGACCAGTGGAGGGCTCTTGTGAACAGGGTAATGAACCTTCGGGTTCCATAAAATGCTGGGAAATTCTTGAGTAGCTGCAGAATTGGCAGCTCCTCCAGAAGGGCTCAGCTCCATGCATAAGTAAGTAAGTAAATCACAAACTGTAAAACTTCACTGAGAATATTTCCAAGATAACAAAGTCAACAATATAATTTCAGTTACTCAGTAGCGAAGGTATCAATAATTACAAATATTTACAATTTCTGTTACTTATGGAAAAATTGTTAAATTTTCTGTTACTTATGGCTTCATTCTATTTGCACCCTTCTGTAATACTATTTTCAACTTTAAAAAATTACATTAATGTCTACTATGTAACAATTTTAATACTGTATGTGTAATCTTGTACACATTTGTCATTTTTAAAGGTGGATTACCAGCTCTGATTTGGGGCGACACTTAGCAGCACGCTGCACTTTTACAATATCATTATAAGGCCCATTTTATGGGTTAATGGCCTCAAGTTCATCAAGTGGGCCCTGTCTTCAGAGTATCAACTTATCCTAAGTCCATACTGTGATCCTTACAGATGAAAAAACTAGTGCTTTTCAAGTGTAATGTAGTAATGTTCAAGCCAGTGGTTAGTCGTTGGCTTCCCACCGCAGCAGCCCTGGTTCAATCCTGGGTCTGGTCAAGTGGGATTTGTGGTGGACAAAGTGGCGCTGGGGCAGGTTTTCTCTGAGGACTTCAGTTTACCCTGCCAATCTTCATTTCACCAATCGCTCCACAATCACCTTCACCTATCATATGGGGCTGGTACAATAGGCCAGAAGAGGCCGCAGTACAAGGGACTTAGTCCCACCCCACTAGCATTAAAAACAATGTTCAAGCCAAGCGAGTTGCTAAACAGTATAAACATGTGGAAGCTTACATGTGAACTTCATTGAAGCCTTCATCAGGTATGCTGCTCTGAAGACAATATTCCATTATCAAACTGTACAATTCTTCTGAAGTCTTTGGTGCCCATTTAGCAATGGGTTTAAATTGTGCACTTTTCAAAAGCTATAAAGTGAAACAGATTAATTACTAAAGAGTGCTACTTATAACTACAAATAAATGTTCGTTACCATAACCACAAAAGCCTTGAACCTACTCTACGCTAGTTCAAAAAGTGTTCATGCTTCAGAGAATCTATATCAATATTATCATTCCATTTATACCTAGATCTATCAAATGGTCCCTTCCATGAGACCTTCCATACAAAATCTGAATATACTTCTTGTTTCTCTTATGCATGCTAATGTGTTTCATCTAATCCTTCTCATGTAAACACCCCAACAGTAGTATCCCAACAGTATTAGGGTGAAGCCTCATTATTACAAAAATCTCCTTATTCCCACTTCACTTCATCTTCAATGTTCAAATATTCTCTTGAGCACTTTATTTTCATATCATCCCCATTGTCCACTCAGAATGAGAAACCGTTTTTCACAAACATATAAAATAATAGGTAAATTATATAATAAAAGTATACACAGAGCTTACAACTAATATTTTGATCACTGATAAAATTGGAAAAAAATTATCAGTGTACTTAACAGTAATTACTCTTTTATAATTTTATCATATTGTGACATGTTGGCTGAAAACCATAATAGTGGAACAAGAAAAGATGGGCCATTGGTAGGCAATGGCATGGTAAATACATTTCCAAAGAACTATAAGGTTTATTTTGGACTCTATCCATCGTCTCGTATGTATAAGACAAGTGATTGAGACTAGCTCTAACAGGCCCAACTGAGTAGGTCTATCTTGCTCCATCCACCTGAGGATGGAGGCAGATCCAGTCTCCGAAACGCTGTGGTTTTTTTGTCTTATATATACCAGATGATGGATAGAGTCCAAAATAAACCTTATAGTTCTGTACAGCATACACCATTGTCAGAATCCTTTAAAGTCTACATTTCCAAAGCAATGAATCAACACACAACAATAGAGGAACTGTTGGAAGCGGTGTTTTCTGTGTGGTCTGTGCCAAGGCTATGTAACAAGGAAAAAATGGGTTAGTGTATTAAGTCACACTATAACAGACATGAATTACTGGCACAAAGAAGTTAATAAAAAAGCAGTTCCTTAAGTGAAAAAAGTTCATATTGTGACGCAAGTGCCTAATCATTGCCCACTGTGTGGTAACAGCTGGGTAGACTCATAACGATGCCTAGCCCATTGCTTGGCAATGGCCACTACAACAGTTAGAGACACTGTTAGAAACGTGCCAAAGTTATAAGAGCAGAGCTCAGAGAGAGAACTAGTTAGCTAGGATATCCCGCTTGGAAGCAGGTTTGAATACCTCCACCTATGAGTTGTAGGTGACAAAAAGGAAACCCAGTGTCTAGGAGTATAACTGGTCAGCCCTATTCCAGGATATAAATACAGGGACCTGGCCCTCAAGGTTGGAGGGGTCTTGAAACTGAGATTGTAAAATATGGTGATGAAGTACCGCAGGACTTGGACCCGAGAATGACTATGCTGGTGAGGGCCAGCTGCAATTGTAAACAACAGACCCACCCTCTCGTCAGAGAGGGCCCCCCACATTAACAAATCTGCCATTATCTGACAGTAACAAAAATCTGGTCTTGGGCCCCAGATGGGTGCTTGACAACAAGACAGGCTGGTTAACTGACCATCGGTCATAACATAACTCTGACTCTGACTTGAACCAGTTAGTTCAGAGTTAGTCAACGTCATAGGCCACGCCATAGCTCAAGGAGTTAGTCGCTGGCTTCCCACTGCGGCAGCCCAGGTTCAATCCCGGGTCTGGTCAAGTGGGATTTGTGGTGGACAAAGTGGCACTGGGGCTGGTTTTCTCCGAGTATTTCGGTTTCCCCTGCCAATCTTCATTCCACTAATTGCTCCACAATCACTCTCACCTATCATCTGGGGCTGGTACAATAGGCCAGAAGTGGCCGCAGCACAAGGGACTTTGTCCCACTCCACTAGCAATAAAAAAAATAGTCAACGTCATGAGTTGCAGAAATGAGTCGAGAGTTTATATTTGAATTCGTTACGAGGCAGTCACCAGTCAATAACATGAGCAGAAGAGGACACTGCACTGTTGGGATCCATTACCAGACAATGGCTAGTGAACAAACAGAAGAATTAGCAAGTGTTGCAGTGAGAAGTAGAGTGTGTGAATTAGTGAGAATGTTAAACTTACTTATAGTTAAAGAGTTGTAAGAGTTGAATAACTCTAATTACCATGCCCAGTCACTAACATGTTACAATACTGTCATGTGTATAAGTGACTACAGAAGGTGTTTGGATTGGTAATTTGATTTATTTAACTCTTACAGAATGTAACTACAAGTAGCTACAGAGCTATCGCTAATTCACACACACACTGCAGTTTACTACAGCACACACTGTGTCTTCTCGGTATGCTGTGTCTTCGCCAGTCGTGGTCTGGTAACAGCTTCCAGCAGCAGACATTCCCCTTAATCTGGGTTCTGAAACTATCCCCATGCCTGAGCTACCAGTTTCTAACAGCAACAGCCCACAATGACTGAACTACAGCAGTCCTCTAACTGACCGGCTGCTCACCAACCAACTCCCTTCATTGCACTGTACTCAATGCGATGCACGAACTGAACTTTGTCAGTTGAGTCATATAGCCTCGCAGCAGACCCATAAGGAACATCACTTGCAACACATCCTTCTAGTGTTGTATGCTGTTACCGTGTTCAGGATGTGTTCCTCTGCTGCATGTGAACAGGCCATTACCTACATGCTACAATATTGTCATGTGACAGTGACTATAAGTAGTGTTCAGATTGGTAACTGGATTTATTGGACACTGAATTGTCTTATTTACAAATAATTTTACAGTTTACTAGTATGTAATATACTTTTGTAAGCTATTATTTCTGTGTTGGTTGCTTGGTTTGCTGTCACACACTTCCCTAGGTTTTGGGCTCTTATGACAAGGAATGCTGTGTTGGTTCACCAGCTATCTGCATATCTCCTTGTTATAGGCCAATTAGAAAAACCACCCTCAAAAGTTCCTCAACTGTTGTATGTAGCTGTCACGGATTGCTGCTTAACATTACCTACCAATGGATCCCTCTGTGAGTTTCTATGGCTTCAAGATTCTAATTCTCAGGCATCACATCACAATACCGTGGTCTTCTTAGTTCTGACATCATATGGTCTGGTATGCAGCTCCAACATTCTGAAGGAATGTATTGCCTCAAAAACACTGGTACACACTCACCAGACTATAATATTCACTACCATGAAAATCTCAGTTCTTAAACAGAAAGACACAAGATTCCAAGTGTAATACTGAAATAAAAAATACCTTAACTATAGAGTCTTTATACTCTGGTGATCCAAAATAACGTGGCATAATTTCATACTGTCTGGTTGAAGAACATCCATTCATCTTAAATGAAGGAACATATTGCACAAATTCTGGTGCTCCAATTGTACACTTATTTAAGGTTTCTTCCGTTAAAATTTTCAGCAATTCACAGCATGCCCGATTGTGAATATGTATCACTAATTCTAGGTCCTGCAACACAAAAGGCAATTAATTAAAGATTCAAAGATACAGTAGTAATTGTAAGGACTGGCACAAAAATTTACAAATTGTATAACATTCTTGCAGATTAGCTGTAACTGTATATTCTAACAAACTCTTAAATCCTATAATAATATAAAAAATCATTCTTTGTATTCATTAAGTACTACATTCACTACCTAGACCAATCAGTCTTTCAAACAGGTGATGGAAACATCCACATCTATTCCAACTCATCATTCATAATCACTCTGTCATATAATTCTACACACTGTTCAACTCAGATGGAAATATGCTGCCTGCTATAGTTCAGTAGTAGTATATTTTGCGACCACTGAGCAAACATCACATCTTTACTTTACTGTGAAACTGTCATAACTCTTTAAGCTTTTTGAATTGGAATGCTGTTAACAGGATTTCTTTCATTCAAAATTACTTGATTACCCACAATTTCTGGCAGTCTACTCCTATATCACCCTGCATATTCTTCTAGAAATTTCGAATGCATTACGTGTTAACACATGAATGATTAGAAATCAAAATAAGTTGATGTTATCATGAAAAGAAGAACTAAACATTGAATTAATACAGTCAATGCAATAATGTACTGTAGTGTCCTATGTACTGTAGTGTCCTATGTACTGTGAATCTGACTGTGATGGCTGCCAACAAAATGTTCCTTCATTTTCACGCCTCAAATTGCTACAGCAATGGACGCCATGAGGGTTATAAACTGTAAATTTGATACCACCGGGAAAACTGAATGTTTGTTTGGGACTATGTGTTCAGAGAGACTAACACATAATCTTATCTCAGACTTAATCCAAAAATGTGTCAGATGTGATTACATTGCGAACATCTTGACTGATGGCGTCATACATTATATAATATGTTACAGAAATGGGATAATACTGAATGGGATATGTAAATGAACAGAAATAATAAATCTGGAAGGTTGGGCTAGCTAAGAAAAACAGATGACTTTAAAATAAATAATTGGACCATAAATCAGCTTACCATTTCCATTCCTGCAACTTCATCAGTGGTATTTTCATGAAATTCAAATTTCTCCCAAAGTGCGTCTGACAAGTATTTGAGCATCACATTCTCTGCAGTTGTGCAGTAAGGCAAATACACTTCAACAACATTTTGAGCAAGCCAAAAAATGCCTTTGTAGAACTGGAAAATAAATATTGTGCATGTCTAATTAGCAAAATTATTTTTAAATAGCATTTACCATTTTTACACAAATGTTTGAAATGCAGCAATTATGGGCTCTTCAAACAGAATTCCTGCAATGCAAATAAATCATTTAAAAGAAATACAACTGCCATAATTATTAAACGAATGGAATAAATGTCCAAACATTGTTTATGTTTGCTTTATCACAGAAGGTACCATTATGGGCCAATAAAACATGGGTAAAAACTCACAAATTCAGTTTTTTGTTTGATGGGTTACAGTATAACCAGAAGCTTAGACAGACTAAGAAATACTGGCCAGCAAAAGTTAATATTTCAAAGTTAATACAAATATTGAACCTCTTATCTGGCACCCATAAATCAAGAAGGACCAGATGGTTGGAGGCAATGACTGGGTAACTGGCTGAATGGATGCTCTGTTTGAATGGGGTGTAGCGCATGTACATTCGTTCCTCCATGGTTACAGTGGTTATGCATCCCTATTACTTATCAAAGACATGGCCAAAGGGCCAGTAGGAAGCCCAGTGGCTAGTGGGAGATGTAAGTTAAAGCATTTTGAATTGGGCATAAAGAATTCTTGGCAGTTACTTTCTTTCGTCATCACTTCAATTTCCAAAAAGCTATATTATACTCACCATATCTTCAAACCCACTTTGACATTTTGGTTTACGATGAAAAATTTCACAAATACGAATTCCAGTTTCATTTATCAATGGTTCCATATTCAGACCAACTTTCACTTGCTGTTCATCCAAATAATCTGTGATAAGGAACGCTACAGGAATCCCACCATAGTGACACTTTGTCTTCAATACTTCATGCAATCTTCTCTTAGTATGTTCTACAGATACAGAATCATGGCAAATCAAGAAAATAAGACCATTTGTTCCAGCCACGGCATCAGGATTAGGGATTCCACCCTCAATCATATCCGGACCAACAAGGCATCTCACACTGACTGCCAACCTTGAGGCTGTAAACAGCAGTTTCCTTTCCAGTAGAAGAGGTTCACACTGAAGCAAACAATAACCCAGCATATTAGGGAAAACAAACATGAAACAATAAATGTTGGGTGCTTATTGATGTAAATCCCACATTTAATTCTGGCACTTCTGTTTCAGGTTAATTGTTTTATGACCTTAACTATTCACTGTGAATCACATCACAGTATGTGTGCCAGATTGAACTTGTTTCCACTGACAAACACACCAAATGAAACATCTGCTAACTCATTAATTGGTGGCTGTAAAATGATTAGAGGGTATGAAGGAAAGGCCAGACTACTGAGTTTTCTATCAAACTTTAGTCCAAAGCATTCAGAAACTGTACTTCTGAACAAAAACTAAAGCACAATCTTAAGATGGATGGCTACTTAGGCAACAACCAAGGCATTTTGTTGGCAGAATGTAACACACAGATCATAAAATGATAAGTAAAGGATTAAAGAAGCACAGCATTTGTCCTTATTAAAATTTAAATTAAAAAAGAAATAAATTGTATAAATCAGATTTCAGGCCACCCAGTTTCGACATCTGATGATACATTAAAAATTTTCATTCATTACTTTGTTAAACTTAACTAGGTTCTTCCTGGTCCGTCCCACTAGTAATTGTATATAAGATTTGGTTCATCCTGGTCCGCCACACTAGCAATATTACAAAAGGTTGTCAACTCTACCCAGTGTGAATGGTAAATGTTTTTTTTCTTTCTTTCTAGTCTTTCATCCTTGACAGGTTTTGCTCTCAGAGACCATCTTCAGAAGGATATATCAATACGGCAGAAACTACTATTACAGTGTGATTGGTCGATATCAATACATACATACAGTATCCATCACAATGCCATGAATATAAAACCTGATCCTTTAACAACTACAGCGACCTGCATGAAGACATTAAAATATTTATAAATTATTACAATTAGCCTGTTTACAAGTGTGGTTTAAAAAGAATTTCTTAAAATTTAGAACCAATTTAGTTCATGTCCTTTATATTGTAACGTGTTTCGTTAGTTCTTCCTGGAGTTTTCGTTTGTCGTGTTCAACGATCGCCAAGATGTTTTCAACTCGATGTTGGATATTATCATCCAACTCTGACCGCATAGATCGCATTTCGGCCTTAATTTCTTCCTTGTCGGCCTTCCTATCGGCCTCCGCCTTTTCTTGGTAGGCGTCTAATTTTGTCAGCATGACTTCGGTTTGTTTCTGGTTGACGTCTAATTTTGCCAGGAAATCTTCTCTGTATTTTCTTCTATCGGCCGACGCCTTCTCTTGGTAGGCGTCTAGTTTTGTCATTAGGCGTTCAAACAAGTTTTCAATATCTTGTCTTTCCATTTTGTAGCAGTAGAACACTCGATGCACAATAATTGTTTGTGGCGTGTTTAAGTTCTGACACCAAATTGTCACGTGTCTTGAGATTGAATCTCATCGGTCACATGTGTAAGTCCAAATCCCACTTCTGACACCAGTGTAACGTGTAGACTACTGAAGACAGAGTGAACTGATTTGCGCATAGGGTTATAAATCGTGAAACCCCGCAACAGTGTTAACAGATTAATGCGATTAGGGTTATAAAGTGTGAAACCCCGCAACTGTGTTATAATCAATTGTAGCCGATAGTTGTAGATTGTTGAATAAACCAATTAACGATCTCTACGGCGTCTTCAGTAATGTAAACACGTTACAATATTGCCTCTCTTTAAAGGATGATGAGTGTCTACCACCTTGTGGTATCGTTGTTTGATGAATAAGACTCTTTAGTGGTGCCCTGTTGTTCAGGCCGTGCTGTGTTGTTATCCATCAAACAATGGAACAGGGTGGCAGACATTGATCTCCCTTTAAGCGAGAAGCAATATAAATGACACAAACCAAATTGGTTCTAAATTTTACCAAATTCTTTTTAAACCACACTTGTAAACAGACTAATTGTAATAATTTATAAATATTTTAATGTCTTCATGCAGGTCGCTGTAGTTGTTAAAGAATCAGGTTTTATATTCATGGCATTGTGATGATATTGTATGTATGTATGTATTGATACTGACAAAAGNTTTTATATTCATGGCATTGTGATGATACTGTATGTATGTATTGATACTGACAAAACACAATGAAATAGTAGTTTCTGCCATATTGATATATCCTTCTGAAGATGGTCTCTAAGACTGAAACATGTCAAGGATGAAAGACTAAAAAACAGAGAAAGAAAAAACAATTTATCAGTCACGCTGGATCCAGATGATTAACCTTTTATAATATTGCTAGTGTAATGGACCAGTATGAACCAAACCAAATTCGCACAAGGAAGAGTTTTCAATAACATGGTATATGTGTGTGATACGAGTACATACAGTTAATAAGGGCAAAGCCTATTCATAAGGGACAAATCTAGCCTCTTGTCAGAAAGGATGTTACATAATGACTATGACTACAGGGGTTCAGTTGCAAAAGAAGAAAAAATATATGGTCATAAGCCTCAAAGGACTTACGCCAAGATGAACTGATTGGCAGTAAACTGCCAGCTGTGAAGTAACTCTGGTTCTGGCTCACAACCATTCAAGTGACTAAGCTGCTGTTGTAGCATAAGGCAAATAAGATAGGTGTGATCTCTGCAAAGCCTTGACTCACAGACAATTTGTGTACATTGTAGAAGAAGAAATTTCAATATCATGCTATATGTGCAATGTGTATGCTTGACACAGGACAAGCACATTGATAAGAGACAAATCTGTCCTCTCGTTAGAGAGGACATACACAAGGACTATGACAATAAGGTTCAGTATCAAAAAAAAAAAATGATCAAGAGCCTCAAGAGGATTCGCGCCAAGACAAACTGATTGACAGTAAACCGTCAGTCAGTAACTCTCACTCTGACAGTAATTGGTTAGTTGGAGTAGTTGGAGTCAGAAGTGAGCGCCAGCCTGTGACAGAAAGTGGTGGTGACTGACAGCCAGAAGTGGACAGGTGTCAATGACCACAAGTTGCAGCCAGAGGCTGAGGAAATGGATGAAAAGCCTCAGAAGGGCCACTTCTAGAACATCTCAATCTGTGATCTCCCAAATACAAACCACGAGAACTAACACCTCACCATACTGCAAGGTGAACGTAAATACGTCCTTATGGTTAATTAATTAAACATGATGCCATAGAGATGTAGCTGGGAATGGAGGTATGGCTCCACCATTCGTGAACTCAGCACTAAATGTAGGCGAGTGGTAAGCGTCACATGCCAGCCACTTCAACCCTGAGGAAAGAGCTCTGGTGTCCACTGGAGAGGAGGTCCAGGTGATGGGTATAGAAAGATCTCTTGCACCTGCTGGGAATTGAAACCTGGCTGTCCAACCCATAGCCCATTACTATACTGACTTAGCTTCCCCAGGTCGGCCATAATCTCCTTCTTCTTTTTCAGATTATTTAATGACACTTTCAGTTTCAAAACTATAAAGCATCAGACGATAGGATGACAGCTGAATGATGATGAACTGGAAAGGATCTGGAAGGAAGCCGTCATAATCTAAATGAGGTGCAATCCCAAAATTTGCCTGGCAGGACTGTAGAAGAACCATGAAAACTGCTCAAGACAGCTGCTGTCCCAGCTGAGATTCACAAGTCTAGATCATTATCTCTAGAGCAACCTGCCTGGTATTCTTCTGTTGGTTGAATTTTTGGAAAAAAGGGAATACTGGAACTTACTTTTCAAACAGTGGACTTGGTAGGTATATGAGGCTTCTTCTGCTCTCACGCAACATTACACTTCTGACTAGGGACCATGATTTTCTTATTATAGCTTCACATTATCAGTTTATGCCTGGACTACTTCTTACCGGGTTAACTGCATATGAATCCTTAGTTGTTGAAAATGCACTCTCTGTATATGTTCTGACAAACTGTCCATAAGTTGGAGACTCTGTTTCATCAGGTATTGATATCACCATTTTGAAGTACCTTTCTGCTGAGTAAGGTCTCTTTGGATTGACATAAAGCCCACATGACACAATATCAAACACGGGTATTTTCGGCACAGCTTCCGCAGCACGCGCAGGAAGAGCTGAAACATTAAAAGAATGATCATAATACAAAGCTAATTTTCCTGATTTTTAATGTCCAGCAGTAATGTCCAGTATTAAGTACACTACCTCTCTTGAAGTATTCTTAAGGTTCAACAGTGCAAATACAAGACTCCCCCCAGTGGACACAATCATGAGTCAGTTCAACCCACTGCTATCTCCAATGGTAAAAATTCTAAGTTTTCAGAAGAACTTACTGCCTCCTTCAATGCAGTACACATCTTCACAGGACATTTTTTAAACTTTATCGTTTGTCCCATTCTCGGTCTTAAAAACAGTCATCTTCAAGAAGTTTCACTGCCAAATTTCTGCATATAATTCTTTTTTCCTTATCCAAGCAAAAATGATCAATCTCGCTGTTCAAAACTATTCATTTCGACTCTGTCCACTTCCTAGTTCTGTATATAAAAATCATGTTTCAGAAATAATTTTGAACTTAGTTTACAGTAATTTCTTGAACTGATTATTTCAACAATTGTACAATATAAGAGTTGTATAAATTATGTAATTATGTATTATGTACTATTCTCCATGACCATCTTACTTCAATTCTCAACTCAACACACATTTTCACTTTTTTTCCAAATATGTATCTGCAATACATGTTCCTACCCCAAGGTAACAGGCTGCTTATCACAACCATATAAAATAATAACAAGAATTTCATGAATTATTTGGTTAAAATGTAGTAATGAATTACTCACTCATTATTGCTTGGAAGTACCCCTACCAGAGAATTTTAACTTCCAATATTCATAACACATGTACACCACAGTTAACCTCTGTGTGTGTACCTGAGATGTTTACCACTAAGCTGAGGTGCCCACATAGATAGCATGAGACCAAAGATAACCTAAGGTGAGAAGCTGTTTCACTCATAACTCTACTTTATTTCTGTGTGGAAGGGACGATCATTCAGCAAACTGTTATCAACTGCAGAATTTGTGAAATACAACTGGAAAAATGATAGGATGAGTATGAAGGTATGTAGAGACATATGAGAAAGAAACTTTATGGTTGAATGAGGCTGAACACAAGATATTTGTTTCCTCCAATTTTTACCTGATGGTATATATGGTGGAACTTCTGATGATAATTTGTTTGGAACTGCACAAATTCTTGTTGTGGATATGTGTTTGCAGTACACAAAGATTCTGTATAGTCCATACTCTAAGACTAACACTTTACTACACTCCTTATCTTATTACCTTGGTTGGGAAATTTTACCTTCATTGTTGTTTTAAGAACTCACAGGAACATATACAGCTTATTTTATTAACAACTCTCTTTTTTGTTTTATTACACCTTTTTACCTTCTATTAGCCACATCTCTTTATAATTTGATACAAGTTACATTTTATTCTGGGATTTCCTCTATATGTATTTTACCTAGATGTTAATATACATGCAGACAGTCATCTATGCTGATGTACCTTAACCCTTATATGTAAAGCATGCCAATCCATTGGCACACCTGGTAATGGCATGAACACTCTGGTGGTCAATCTATTGGCTCCATCTCTATGTGCTTTTAGTTATATAAATGGCTCAAAAGTGGCAGCACAAGACAGCACCTTATTCTCCAGGTCTATTTCACAGTTATGCCTCCTTTGCTTACAAAAAAAAAAATTTTTAAACAAATTACATATGTTGAGCTCATATGTTTACTTGGTGGTTCAATGCTTCCTTGGTATGCGGGTTTAGGTGGTTTACTGTGAATATATCATAGTTCAGTGGCAGTATCTTTTTATAATAAAGTTATATATTGTTTATCACATTTTCAATATATATTTTTTTTTAGAGTTTTTAGTAATTATAGTTAGTTACTTTACATTTTTAACTAGATAATGGCTGGTCAAAGCTCTAAGTCAGAGCTTCAATTCAATTCTCATTTATTTTCATGCTAACTTAACAGCTCAAGGACAATTAAAAAGTGACCATGAATAAAGATACAGAACAAAAATGCACACAGACAAAGCCACAATGTGACAGAAAAGAATAATTCAAGTTTAAAATAGATCAGTATACTACAATAATAATAAAAATAATAATAACAATAATAATAATGGTATTAAATAATGATGATAATTACAAAGACAAAACAACTCCGTCCAATGTGACTACTGAAGTTTTTACTACTTGAAAACTTAATACCCTTACATGTTTTGGTCCCTATAGATCATCAGAGGGACATCTATACTTTTTGGAAACTACTATCACAATGGATGTTTTGAGTGTTAAAATACATATACATACAATGTTTGTAATGCACAATACATACAAAATCCAACTTTTCCACAACTATAGCAGCTTTCTTGGCACATTAAAGTTTTTAAAACTTTGCTACTTAAGTTAAAATTTATAAACCAAGTAGGTTCATGTCCCATCTCCCATTGTCTTTTTTGAGGGGGGCTGAACTTGTGCCGCCTGTCTATCTTGAGAAGGAGATTCTTGGTTTCATCCTGTGTTTGTTCGTGGTGTGCTGTGTTGTTTTTGATCACAAATAAAAAATGATGATAATAACTGTTTACTTAATTCAGCATAAAATATGTTTCAACAACAGAGATTTGGTCCAAAGATGTCTATGTCCCTACAAACAACATTAGCAGTTGAAGGGCAACAAGCAGAGGCACAATTTTTACTAACAAAAGAGACACTGATCATAGGAAAGTCTCTGATATATCAAACAAGGACCCGAAGGCCAATAATTGCCAAAGCAGAAGGGCAAAGTATAGAACCATGATAAACTTGAGTAAGGAAGAGTGCACCAAAGTGATATCTACTATTTTGTAAGGTGTGATATTTCAATTGTTCTAAAGCTAAATTGTAACAGTAATCTACTGAAGAAAAAGTGTTTAAAACAGAGGGCTGTAAATTTCTCCCGAATGCATTCTAGTTTGAAGAAGGCAGTCTTCTGGGATTTGGCACCGTGTATAAGTGGTGTTAACCGACTTTTCGGAGGAACGTATCGCCTCCATCTTCAGGGTAGAAGAAAAAGTATAAGAAATCTGCAAGCGACAAGACCGTGAGAAGGGTACACCGCCGTGAAACCCTCAAATCTTACGCATTCTAGTTTGTTTGCATCTGTTGATGTAATAGAATTCCAAACCACTGAGGCATATTCAACTTTGGATGTAACTAAAGTATAATATGAACATGCATCCAAGGGTTGAATAATTAAAGGTGACACTGCAAATTATACCTATCATCTTAATACAATGTGAAAATATAAAATTAACATGATTATGAAAATGAAGTTTAGAATCAAGACATACAACCAGGTCTTTCACTGAATAAGTTTGAGTAATAGCGGAATAAAAAGTTTGTACCCGTAAATCAGATAGTTTTCCTGGAGAACTTTGGTTTTGTTAACCCTTTGGCGCGGTTATTTAAATTCCGCGGCCGCGTCTCCGGCGGTAATATATTCAGGCGGCCATTTAAATTTTGCTCGAAAATGATTTATTCATCATTGTTCTTAAATTCTATGAGATAGGAACATGAAACTTTCACTAAAATGATCTTAAAAGGTGGTTTTATAACCTTACCTTATAATATGAGCGCCCTGTATCTCGGGAATGGAAGCAGGTTGTTTAGTATCTGAGCAGTGAATGGTACGCCTTGAAGGATGAAACTTTCACTAATTTGATCTTAAAAGATGGTTTTTATAACCTTACCTTATAATATGAGCGCCCGTTATCTCGGCAATGGAAGCAGTTGATTTAGTAGAATTTGAGCTGTGTAAGGAAGGCCTTGAAGCATTCGTATAACCCAACGGTGCCCCCCATTCACCACTCCAATTTGTGTATCTTTTCTTTGGCCCACACATCTGTGCGGCCATGCCTTCTTCCCCGTGAGGGGTATAGTTCAAGGAAATGTCTTTCCGTGACCCGTTTAGTTGCCAGGTCAGCTGTAGTAAATTCAACGTTACGAGTTATCATAACAAGGGGTTGTTGCTATGCCTTTGATATTCCATCCATTTTGGCGGCAGTAGATGTCGTAGGGGTGACCACAGAATTCATGAAGTTATTCTAAGAACTGTCTGGTATGTAGTGAACGAAAGCAGAGCTTAGCTGGCTCAAAAAAATATTTATGGTCATCCCTCGAAACGACCACCAAGGTCAGTACGATAAAATGGAGTCAACTGGAGCGATAATACATGAAGGAATGAGTTCTTTTTCCCCTACACACACACACACACCCATCGTCACAGGGGGTGACCACAGTGTTCTGCCTTAATTTGTGGCGTTTTTCTAAGAACTGGCTGCCATGTACTGTGCGAAATCAATCGATCTGGCAAGAATAAAATGTGGACATCCCTCTTCTAAGAATTCCAATTGAGTGTGTTAGTGTGGCCAGCTCAGGGCAATATGATATTATAAACACAAGCACATATCACGTCTCTGCTGTTTATAGCTTCAGAGCAAAGAAAACACGCCATTCATAACAGCTTGAACGAGGAAATCGCTCGCAAGAGCAACAGGAACTTTGCTGCAAGACAGGCATATGTAACGATCACTTAGCGCAGCTAAACTCCTGTCGTCGTTCTCGTTGTTCTCCTGACAACAGGCCAGCGAAAAATCTAACAATCTACAGCAAAACCATCAAATATTATGGGCGTTATAACATAGGTGTGCAGCTGGACGAAACATACACGTCAAACCCCCCCAGACGATTTAAATACCTGACGAAACATACACGTCAAACCACGCTGAACGGTTAACACTGAGTTTCATATAGTTTGCTGCATACCAACCATGTATAGAGTCAATGTCAGATTGCAGACGATTACAATCTTCAGGAGAGCTGACAGCATGGTAAATTTTTATGTCATCTGCAAAGTGCTTAATTGAATCACACAAGTCGTTTATATAGACAGTGACAAGCAGAGGCCCAAGAACAGATCCTTGGAACACCAGAAAATACCTCAAAAGGAGATGAAACAGTTTCACCAATACGGACCCGCGAGTGTCTGTTAGTTAGGCAACATCCAGTTTACATAACCACCAGAAAATCCAGGAGCACTCAGTTTGTGAAGAAGCAAGACGTGGGGAACGAGATCAAAAGCAAAAGTTAGGTCAAAGCAAATGGCATCCACTTGACGTTGAGAGCCAACTAGAGGAGTAATAAAATCCAGACAAGTTACTAGATTGGTGGTGGTGGATTTATATTTTGTGAAACCGTGCTGNGTCTGCTTTTACCGTTCTCACGGTCTTGTCGCTTGCAGATTTCTTATACTTTTTCTTCTACCCTGAAGATGGAGGCGATACGTTCCTCCGAAACGTCGGTTAACACCACATATACACGGTGCCAAATCCCAGAAGACTGTTTTCTTCTGTTGTATTGTTGATTGACTGTGATATACACAGACGATTTAATATGGTCAAATTCAAATAGGTTTGAAAAATTGTTAAGAATTGAGGTCTGTAGTTGTTGACTGAGGCACTACTGCCTCTCTTAAAGATAGGAACAACTGGCACTTGCTTCCATAATGCAGGAAAACACTGTTGAGATTGACTAATATTGAAAATATGCTTCAGGACAAGTACAAGTATAACAGAACAATCTTTAATAGTGAAGCCAGGGATGTTATCAAGACTGACAGATTTTGACGGTCTGGCCTTAAAAATGTCTGAATCAGAAATAGGTGACAAAGATAGAGATCCCAAGGATGATGATGAAAGGGAGGGGAAGACCCCTGGAGAGGGACTATTATAGACTGAAAATGATTAACAAATGCACTGGCAACTTCATAGTGGTCTAATAATAATAATAATTCTTACTTACATCTCCTCTTCACAGACTTGAACCTTATCCTCATGGTGAGAGAGTCAAACAGATATTAACAGCATGTGATTAGCAGTAAAGAAGGTAATATTCCCACTCTGCTAAAGAACTGGGCCACAATTACAATGCATGAGATGAAAGGATTTCTCACCTGTATTCTAAATTTGGGTATCATCAAAAAGCCGACCATAGCATCATACTGGTTCGCCCTCTGTTCGCAAGCTACCCCATGGTTTGGGAAAATGTTTACCAAGCATGGATTTTCCCACTTTCTGCTCTTCTTCCACCTCATCAACAATGGAGTGTTAGGCCTTGGAGAACCAGCCTACAATCCCTGTGCAAGGTACCAACTCCTTGTGGACCATGCAAACAGGGTACTCAGGCATCATTACACCCCTCACCAAGAAATTAGTGTTGACGAAAGCCTGGTAGGTACCAAAAGCAAAATCAGTCTCATGCAGCCCCCCCCCCCCACACACAACCACCACCACCACCAAAGTATATACACAGTATGGTACACAACAGTATATGTACCAGGTCCTTTTTACAAGGAATCTCTTATTAAAACAAATTACTAAATACACAGATATGTGTCAGTATTGCCATATACTTTTTCTTTCTTTTAGAGAAAAAGCTCCACTCAAATACCACACAGAATATAAACTTAAGAAATTCAAATATTCTTACCGAATTCTGCAACAGTTTTACCAATGACCTGCGGCTTCTCTAAATGTGCAATTTGTTCCTTCAGTGTCAGAGTTGATATCCAAGCAGGAAACTCCACCATACATTTCTTGTACAGTTTAATTCTTCTTACAGAATTCCTCCAAATATTGAAATATTTCCTGACATCAGATACTTGTTGTTTCTGTAACAGTAGCTCCAAACTGAAACATACATAATGATGGATTAGATATTTAGCCACTCATACGGTCTGTGAGACACTTACTTCAACACATATTATAGGTAAAATCTCATCAACACACTGTCACATGACAGAGTATGACTCATTGATGGGTTTTGGATTCATAAGAGGATTTACTGGACTTTTTGATACAGTGCATGACAACACTTTGCAGTCCCTGCCCCCCCTCCACACATGCACGCACGCACGCGCGCGCGCGCATGTCCACAGTCATGTCTTCACTGCTGTCAGTTGGTAGCCACTTTCAACAGCAAACATTCCCCATCCCCTGGTTTCCTCAACTGTCTCCAACATCACCTACAAGCTTCTAACACAGCATGGACCACGTAGAAAACGTCTCTTCCAATATTGCTGTATTCTCTTGTTACCGTGGAAACATGCTTGTTTGCAGAGCCGTTACTTAACAATGGCTCTTGTATAGTTGCTTATTTTGTGGTCATCACCTAGCAACAGGCCTGCATGCCACAAAATGATTTTCAGAACTAAATCATAATGCAATACCAAAGATAAACTGATTTAAAACAGTCCAATAAACAGGGCCATGCAACAGCATCCATATCAAACAAGTTAAAAGGAAAAATCACCACTACAACAGACAAAAGGACACAAGAAATTAAACAAAATACTATGAACACAATTACTACAAACAATAAATACTGAACAATAAGAAAACAGAAAAATTTGACACACAATACACATAGAAGAAACTCTGATATCCATATAATATACATAAACAAATTCCAGCTTCTATATGCAAAAATAAGTAACTTTCAACAACAGAATCTTAGGAATCCAGAATCAACAGCTGTAACAACACATATAGAAGAAATAATACACAAATGGGATAATCAACACTGCAACCTACAAGAAAATTACAGATCAACAAGTATCCAGATATTGGCATCTTCAGCCATTAAGCGTTATTTAATGTAACACAATGATTTTCTGTCTCCAATCTGCACTCATGCAAGCTTCACTTAGCTACAGTATAAGACTCTAATCCTGAGAGTTGTGGGGAATGCAGGAAGTCAGAAACATTAAATGCGTGGTAGCAGCATGGATCCGCAACTATGACCTGAGATAAAACAGGATTGTTTCAGTTCAGCCCAGCTGAGCCCTACACAAGTATGCTAGTGGTCAATACCGTCTGATCTGACACCATACATAATGGGTAGGTCTGTTTGCGTCCCACTCCCTCTTGATGATCCCTTCATTCCTCAGTCTACTTCCTCACCCGAAAGATGTCAAGATCAGAGTCTATCAGCACGTTCCAAGAATTCCAAAGTGGAGCCAACCTAGGCAAAACACTTAACATTTCCCACCAATATTGTACATTTTGGAAATTTCTGATTTTGCTGTTGCAGGTTTTGATCCAAAGTACAGATTGTTTATGAACCTGTATTTAAAGGTGGTACTAGTTCATATGTGCAGTAACATCTTGGATGGTTGAATCAGTGTAATTATACAGTTACAAGTTCCGAAAGTCACATGATGAATCTTGTAAATGCCAAATTTTAATAAATGAGGTCAGTGATGTTGAAAAAAACAGTAATTATTATAAAGTAGCACTGACCCCATTTGTGCAAAAGAACAATGACAACAGGGGCTCCTTATCAGCAACTTCATGAAAGAGTTGCAATATATACATGTAAATGTGTGGAGACAGCACAGTAATACAGTATACAGTAACAGCAAATGATGCATAAAGAATACACTTTAGAAAATTATTAATAATTCACTCATTATTACAGGACAATTTCTCTAGTTCTAACCATGTCAATGTCAACAATGTTCATTGCAGTGAAGTCTTTGTTGTTGGCTGCATCTCTATTACCAGAGGACCTATACTTACCGCTCCTCTCTGATAACATTCTTCACCATATTTTTGCAATCCTCCATAGTTACTTCATTCAAGATACTGACCATATGTTGTAAACATGACTCATGAAAAATGTCTTCTTCTTCCTTACAAATGTCTTTAATAAGTCCGGTCACTAAGTCTGACAGAAATTCCTCCAAAACCTGAAAATGAAACAATGGACTGAAGAAAAGTCTGCAAAATGCTCTCCACTAGCATAAGCAAATGATGACAGCATTCAAGAGATACATATTATAGAACTTATCATGCCAAGCTCCTTCATGTAAATGTTACAGGTTGCATACTTAACACTATGGGCTCAATTTGTCTTGAAAAACTGACACACCTTTGCAAGAAAATCCTCATTTTTGTGAAATCTCAAAGTTTACTGCCATCTGCATCTATACTGTGATAGGTGAATCAAGTTCACCCCTTAATATGCCATTTCTCTAGCATCCATTTTAATATTATACTCAAGTCTATGCTAAGGTTCCTTGAACACTCTCTCTTAGGTTTTCTGATGAAATTTTGTACATGCTTCTCATCTGTGCCCTGCATACAACATGTACCTCTTATCTCAACCTTCTCAGTGCATTTACTGAAAACAAGCCTATACACAAGCATTATCTACAACTGCAAAACCCATTCCTTCCTTTGTCTTGAGTATATCTGTACTACAGAAAGGTAAGTCCTCAGCATTGGCGTTTCTGGATTTAGTTGTTGGTTCAGTTTCTTGCATTTATTTTCACTTCCTTCTCTGTCTTAGTTTTAGGTCTTCGTGTGCATTTCCACAGTTTTTATTATAAGTTTTTCTATTACCTTCAGCCAATAAAAATTGACTTTATGTGCATATATCCATATGATTTAGGTTGCCCAGTGACTGAAGTTGGCTGCTCCTGACAGAACCCACAGAGCAGGTGCCTATCACCCTTTCACCTGAGCGTGAAAACAAATCCAGTTTCCATGTTACAAGATGATGGACTAGGTTCAAACACTCAGTAAGCCCAATAATAATGTATGTCATTTAGAAACTTAACTTCAAAGGTATTAGAAGTGACATTCTTGCCTTGCATGTAAAGACCACTTCCATCTCCTTAATACAATAATAATACAAAATACCAGACTATCACAACAGTACATTTCCAGCTCTTAAAGAGATATTATTTTGAGAGGTAATAACATTTGTAAGTAATCTTTGTTATATCATATTAGCAGTCATTTTGTGTACTAATAAATTAAAACATGAATTGGGTCTAAGTACACATAAATAATACCCACAAACATGCTAAATACAGAGAAACTTCCATCAGATAATCTTAGGGCAGAATAAGATTTTTAAATAATTCTAAAACATGACTTCAGAATAACCCTTTCACTGTTTATAAGACATTTTATAATATCACTCCACAGCGCACCAATACGCAACACAGCTTTCAGTTTGGTAAGAAGAGGGCCAATATGTCATTTCAATTTCTATTTACCTCCATAAGTTGATACTTGCCTTATCCTGGGACATATAAATCCTGTATTGTTAAAATTCCAGAAAACATATTGTAGCGTGTAGAGCTGTTATTATATGACAACCTCAAGATAGGTGAATATACCAGAAATCTGTCCAGGCAATGGCTCAGTAAACATATTCCCACAGCAACAAATCGACTTGCAACAACAGAGATACTTATGTGGTCCATGCTGAGGAAAAGACAACTGGGGACTCATTGTGCCATTCACACATCATGTAAGGGATACAGTCGTCACGGACCAGGAAGGGACAATGTTGCAAGAGGAACCTTGAGAGGACAGATGTTCAAGAAGAGGCATCAGGCACAACTGGAAGGCAACAACTGAATAAGGGACCAAGACTTAAAGGAGCACGTATGTCTTGGAAGCAAGAGGACATCCAGCAAGATCTTCAGGAAGGCTCTCATGCTGAAGATCATGAAGTGAAGAATCAAACTTTCAGTCAAAATTCAGAAAATTAATGTCAAAGAATTGTGGAGCAGTTGGTCCCATCCAAAACAAAAGAAGAGACCACTAACAATGGATCAGACAGGCATGTAGGATCACTGACCATTCTTGCAACTGAGAGAACTGCTTGGGACATGTGCCCTGAAGGAGGAAACAGGAGCAGTTGGAGAGTAATCACCGTGAAAACCGAGCCACAGGGAGGAAGGTGAGACCTAGCACAGACATTGCAAGCAGTCCTCAGAAAAGAAGAAATGGTGGCACGCCTGTAGGCGATTTGAGACAAACAACCTTAAGGAAGGAACAATGTAGTGTGTACAGCCATTACTATGCAATGACCATGAGATAGGTGAATATATCAGAAATGTTTCTAGGCAACAGCTTGGTAAACACATTCCCACGGCAATGAATCAAAGGGCAACAATAGAGGTAATGTTGGAAACGGTGTTTCTAAATGGTCCTGTGCAGAGGAGTTATCTTGAAGGCAATTGGGGCAACTGAGTGTGTTCTGAATGGGGGTCTGTGAAGAGAGGACTTCGATGTGTGAACCTGAAGGACTCCACTGTTAGAAGTCATTGCCAGGAAACAGCTGGCGAAGACACAGCAGGCTGGAAAAAATTAGCAGGTGCTCTGGTGATTTGTGAATTGTGGAGATTAGCAATGGTGCTGTAATTACTTGTACTTATGACTCCTGTCTATAAAAGCTTAATAAATACAATATCCAATCCAAGACCTCATCAATAGTCACTCCTACATGTGACACTATCTCACTCACTCACTCAAGAAGCTGAGCCCTTCTTGAACAGCCGTTAATTGTGCAGCTATCCAATAACTTCCCAGCATTTTATGGAACCCAAAGGTTCATTATTGTGTTCAAAAGATCCACTGGTCCCTATGCTGAGACAGATCAATCAATACCATCCCATCCTGTCTCTAAAATCCATTTTAATATTATTCACCCACTTATGGCTTGGTCTTCCTAGTGGTCCCTTTCCTTTGGGCTTTCCCACTAATATTTTATATGCATTCCTCTTCTCCCCCATTCATGCTACATTCCCTGCTCATCTCATCCTCCTTGACTTGACAATTCCAATTACAATTGGCGACGAGTACAAGTTATGAAGCTCCTCGTTATGCAGTTTTCTCCAACCTCCTCTCACTTTAACTTCTTCAGTTCAAATATTCTCCTAAACACCCTGTTCTCAAACATCCTCAGTCTATGTTCCTCCCTTAATGCCAGAGACCAAGTTTCATACCAATACAGAACCACAGGCAAAATTATAGTTTTTATATAATAATTTTTATGTTTTTAGACAGCAGATGAGAAGACAAAAGGTTCTGGCCTGAATGGTTGCAAGCATTACCCAAATTCAATCTCCTCTTAATTTCCTCCTGAATCAGGTTTTGATTTTATTATAGTTGTTCCCAAATATCTGAACTGTAACACATTTCCAAAGGATCTGTTAGCTACCTTGATGCCATGATTTTGCCCTGCATTCTGGTGATGAGACAACATATATTTGGTTTTCTCTGTGTTTACTTCTAGACCAACCTCTTTACTAGCATAATGAAAGTTATTGTGTTTTTAGACCATTCTGGATAGGAAAATTATCAGACAAATGTTTACCTATAAAGATGTATTATACATTCAAGTGCCAAAGTCATAGGATATGCATCAAGTATCATGTAGGACCCCTTGTAGCCTGGTGAAGTGTAGCAACTCAACATGTCATCAATTCAGCAATTGGACAGAATACCTCTAGAGAGCTGTGGAGCCATGCCATCTGGACATCCACCCACAGCTCCCTGGTATTTGTGGGTGCAGGATCTTTGGTGTGAATGGAACTCTCCACCATGACCCATAAATGCTCGACTGGGTTCATATCAGGTAAACATCATGGTCATACCATTTGTCAGAACTCTCAAGAATGCATCTCAAACCAATTCTGGACAACTTGGGCCCAATGAAATGGTGCATTGTCCTGTTGGAATATGCCATCATTTTGGGTGTACATGAAGTCCACAAAGGGCTGCAAATGGTCACCAAGCAGTGCAGCATAGAGGTCACCAGTCAGTGAAGTGTTTAGGCAGACCAGCAGACCCAACCCATGCCACATAACAGTATGGAACCACCACCAGCCTCCACGGTGCCTTGTTGAAAACTTGGGTCCATGGCTTCATGGGGTCTGCACCACACCCAAACCCTACCATCCACCCGAAACAACTGGTACTGTGACTCATCAGACCATGCCACATGTTGTGAGTCCTCCAGGGTTAAATTAGTGAAGTCACAAGCCGAGGTGAGGCGCTGTGTCTGGTGTTGTGGTGTTAAAGAGGCACTGTGGTTGGTCTTCTGCTCCCATACACCACTGAAGCTAAAGAATGCTACACTGACCTGCTGGATATGGTCTGGGACCTCCTGCATTGAATGTGGATGTGATTTCAGTCAGTGTCATTTGTCTGTTACCATGGACAATGGTAACAAGACTCCACTGGTCACAATTATTAAACACATGTGGTCAGCTACTTCACTGTCCATGGTGGGTGGTAATGCCTTCCATGAGGTAATCCAAGTACACACGTGACACTGTGGTTCCAAGAATGCTGAATGGCCACACAATTTCAGAAATGGAATGTCCCATCCATCTGGCACCCAGTATCATGCTCTGTTTAAACTCCTATAAATCATGCTGCCTTGCCATAAGCAGAATGCGGCATGAAAATCTGCAGAAACGAGGCAACTAAAGAAAGTTTTGTTTCTGTTTATAGATTAGCTGAACAGCAGTTACGAATATTATAACATTAATTGCACTAGGTCCATGAAATTCAATGAACAGTCCTTTGCTCTTTCTAGTATAAATATAAATATAAGTAGTAAAATGTAATGAAATTGATCTTTATTATTCACACACAGGAATTTTAAACTTTATACTAGTACAAGGTTAGCAGTGATGCCTTAATTCATGGGCAACTGTATTTTCTGAACTAACTCCATGGAGATGAGCCCTTGAGGAGCCAGTAGTTGCTCAGCAACTCCAAAAATTCCTAGAACCTCAAATCCCACATCATTCTGAAATATTCAAACAATTTCGAAGAATCTACTAGCTATATTTATGTTGTGGTTTTGGCCTGAATTCTGGTGATGAGACTTCAGCATGTACTTCCTTTTCACTCCGTTAACTTCTAGTCCAGTCATATCAACTATTGAAGCATCTGCAGGTTTCCTTAAGATCTTCATGTTTTTCCCCAATTAATTAATATCATTGTCCCAGATCAGAAGCTGATGTGTCTCATTCTTGGACACTCCAAATGGCAGATTCTAAAGTGAAGCTGAAAAGCAATGGTGATACATCTTCTTGTTTCAGAACATCCTTAATAGGAATATATATGTGACAAATGTTTACCTAAATGAACTTTAGTGCAGGTTCCAATTAAATACATTCTTTTAGCCTAATCAGTATCATGGGTATACCAGATTCAATGAAAAGACTGGACAATATTTACCTCCTAAATGAATCATAGGTATTCTTCAAGTAATATAATCTCCCTGTACTTCCATTTTTCTCCAGCATCTGATAAATGCAAAACATCTGACCTCCAGCTGAACTCTTACATCAAACTCCACACTGATGATGCCCAATAATTTTTACTACAGAGTTACATTGAAGGGAATAGACATAACAAGTAAAAAGTTATCTCTGGGCTTAATTAATTAAGCACCATGCCCTGATGATAGTTGGGGGAGTGGAGTTACAGCTCCACTATTCTTAAGCTGACAAAACACAGAGGTGAGTTCTGGAGAAAATAATATTAGAGAAAATCTTGTTCTAACTGAATTATAGACTTTCTTGAAGTCTATAATTAGATGATATATTCCCATTATATCTCCCATACATCATGAATGAAGATAATCTGAGCAGCAGCTCTCAAAACCCATGATGATGATCCTAAACTATGTTGTCTACATAAAGTGGTTAACCTAGAGAGAATACTGGATAAAATTCTGCATTAAGTTCTCTCTCCCCCACTTTTCTTGTGGGTTATTTAACAATGCTGTATCCATAGTGTGTAGCACCCGAAGGTAGGATGACTGACAAATGATGAATTGGAAAATATATGGACAGAAGCAGTCGTGACGTAACCAAGGTATTATCCCAGCATTTGTGTGGAAGGGCCCAAGAATACCATGAAAAACCTGTCAGGATAGCCACTGTCCTGAAATTAAACATAACATCTCCCAATACAAGTCTAGATTGTTACGTCTCAACAAGCCTGTTTGGTTGTATGAAGTTGACAATAATGATTTAACTCAATAATTGCTACAGAGAGTTTTATCACCCTTTTTGTATACAGGTATAATTATAAAGAGTTCTAAACGGTAAAGGTATCCCCTTAACAGGCTGTGGAGGCCCACAGGGTTGTGAGATGTTGAGGCTCCCACATTTTCTAGACAACTGGTACACAGATGGTGGTGAGGCTACAAGCCTTAAATGCTGGCTGCCCTTTCACCCAGGAAGATTCTGGGTACTCATTTCTAATAAAGGCTAAATTGATCCCAGAGCCATAGTGTGACTGGAAGGATAAGGTCAATTGAAAAATCCAACAACCTCATCAGGAATTGAACCCTGACCTCCTGGCTTGTAGCTTACTGACCAAACCAACTATGCTACCACGTGCCCCATAAAGAGTCCTATCTTCTGGGATGTAATGTTGTGTAGTCCAGTGAAAGCTAACTGATGTTTTGGAAGAATTGTGCTTGCATGATTCTGCAAGCACATCACTCTTTTTATCCCTTACCAAGTTCTGAAATATCTACTACCCTCACATCCCACATGTTCAAGTGCCATCAGAAAGTTCCTGGCCTAGGTCAGAAAAGAAATGCTGACTTAACTTACCCAATTTTGCCTTCCATCTCCTTCAAAATGTATACAGTGACCCCATTGTTTTTTCCATGCTTCAAAAGCACCGTGGAAGTCATTTTCCTTAATGCTGTCATATATCGCTTGTGATTCCCTTTGGATGTCAGACACTATTTCAAAATGTCATCTCTTCAGTTTAATTTTAATTTGGGAAACAAAGCAAAATCACAGGGGGCCAAGTCTAGTGTGTAGGGAGGATGAGTAGTGATAACCATATTGTTTTTAGTAAAAAAACTCTGTGGTTTTCACGGATGTGTGAGTAGGTGCACTGTCATGATGAAGGAGCCAGTTGCAGTTGCACCAAAATTCTGGACTTTTTCATTGCACATTTTCTCTCAAGTGTCTCAAAACATTACAGTACAAGTCAGAGTTGTAGTGTTGGGAGGAACAAATTCAAGGTGAACAATCCCTTTAACATCAAGAAAAATAGTGAGCATGCTCTTTCTGGAACTCCAGACCTGTGGCGCCTTTCTTGCTCTTGGTGATTGTAGGCTCTTCTACTGCAATGATTGTTGCTTTGTTTCTGGATCATAACCATAAATAACTTTCATCACCCATTATGATTCTAGATACTTGTAAAAGTTGGGTCCTTGTTAACCTTCTCTTGTAGCTCAAGACACATTTACGCATCGGCTGCTGTTTTGATTATTTGTCAAGAGTTGGGGAACAAACTTTGTGACAATATGGGCACATGTTCCAATTATCTGTTAAAATCTCCTGGCAAATTCCATAACTGATCCCAGCAGTGCCTGTGAGCTCACGGATTGTTCAGCGACAGTCTTTGTTGATGAGTTCTTGAATTTTGTCAACATTTTCTGTCATTTTGCTGGCAAATGGTTGCCCTGAATGTTTGTCATCTTCAACTGACACTTGAGCGGCTTTGAAACGTGAATGCCATACAAAAACAGCTGTCTGGCTTAAAGAATGTTCTCCAAAAGCCTCACAAAGCATTTCAAGGGTTTCAGTAGCAGATTTACCGAGCTTCACGCAAAACTTGATGCAGACACATTGCTTGATTTTGCCATGCATCACAGAAAAAACAAACCATAAAGTCAAAAAAGGACTTCTGTAAAAACAATGTGTGTTCACAGCACAGTATCACACGGGAGACTGATGCAATAGGCTTGCAGAAATGTGACCTTGGCCTCCCCTCTCATTTTCTTTCACCGAGGCAGTGACAAAAATAACAGTTCAGAAACTTTCCAATACTTCTTGTATTCATTTATTTGGTTTGGATGTAATAACCTTGCAATTTTACTTCTTTCCTTTGATCTAACAGTTTTGAACATACAGAGAATTGGGAGTTCAGCTCTTTTGGTATTATGGGGCTGGTTGGCACATTTTGACTTGGTGGTAATGGCATTAGTATTGAAAAAATTCAAAACTTGGCCAGCTAGACTACAAATGTGCTGCCATAATGTGATAAAATTATAAATTAAAATTAAAATGCCCTTACCCAATTTGTTGCAGTACATCACATTTAAATACGTGTATAAGCTGAGCTGATAGCTCCACACATTGGTGTTTTAAACGGAATATGTAAAAAACTCAATTACTTATCATACAACAGGCAATCTTAGGCAAATTATTTCATACACAGACAATTTATATGTTGTTATTTCTTTACATAATATACGTCAATAGTTTTCTTTCTCCGAAAACGTATGCTGTATATATTCATACGCTTCTTACTTCAGTAAGACAGGATGATATTAAATCACTGAAATGTGATGTGTAGTTGTACAATGACTGGTGTGACAGACCTAAGCAGGTATAGCTAATGCAAAGGAGACTGGCATTCAGCCCTTCTTGTGTTCTGGAACTGGAGGGGAGCTGGGTCAGTGTACAAACAAAAATGACTAGTCTTTTATTTCCATGGGCATTCTTCTGCAAGAAAATAAAATGCTGGACAGTTACTTCACATCACTGACCAGAAGTTGTTCACAAGATCCAAACTATCTCATATCAGTTCTACTGTTACACAGATAAACACAAACTAAATAATACCATACAAATGTTTGTGAAATGTTGATTGCAAGATACTGAAAGTTAGGTTCAAGTGCATTGACATAAATAATGATGTATGATTTTTTAAATGCTTCAGCACTATGCACTGAACATACCTCTGCAGCATTGATATCTATGAGCTTCTGACGCTCCTCCTCTTCCTTCTTCAAAATTTCTTCTGCCTTTTTCCTTGCAATTTCCTTCTCTACAGTAACCACACCTTCACAAATTTCCCTAAAAAATCAAAATTTGATTCCTAAACATTCTGTTTACTCATTACAAATGGGGGTCTGACAAAATGATACTGAGACATGTATATGAAAAACCCTTCAGTCAGATTTCCTGACCGGAGTGAATGGGAAGATGGGTTTCAGCCCAATAGAAAAGGGGGATGGATCTGGTATACAGATGGTTCCAAGGTAAATAAGGGCACTGGAGCTGGTGTGTACTGCTATGGCACGAGGCAGAGAAACTTAGTTTCAGCCTTGGGCAGTACAAGACAGTATTCCAGGCAGAAGTATATGCCATTACGGCAGGTATTATGGAGAATTTAGATAGGAACTATAGAAATAGGAACATCTACATTCTATCAGACAGCCAACCTGCACTTAAAGCGCTTGACAAACACCAGATCAACTCAAAATTGGTCTGGGATTGCCACCAAATCCTCATGGAACTGGCCAAACATAACAGGGTAGAACTGATATGGGTGCCAGGGCATGAGAGTATTGCTGGAAATGAAACAGCGGAACAATTGGCTAAGATTGGAGCTGAACAACCATTCATAGGACCTGAACCAGCCTGTGGCATCTCTATAGGAGTTGCCAGAAAGGCAATCAGGTACTGGACAAATATGAAGCACAAGAAATACTGGGGATCCTTGACTGGACTCAGGCAAGCAAAGGGACTCATACGAGGATCCTCTGCTATCAGAGTGAAGGAACCAGCTACGATGGGTGGTGGGACTACTTACAGGACACTATCATCTTAAAGGACACCTCTTCAAACTGGGACTGAGTGATAGTCCCACTTGTGAGAGGTTTCAAGAAGAAACTGAAACAGCCATACATATCCTGTGTGATTGTGAGACCGTAGCTTATTTAATACTATGTCACTTGGGTCAATATTTTATAGAACCAAGTCACTATTTTGAAGCCCCCATGTACAAAATCCTACGCTTCGAAGTGCAAGATTGCTGAGGGGATAATCAAAAGGGGAAGCACAAGATCACTGTAGGTCATGGTGCAAGGACCGAGAAGGTCCACCCCTTATACATTCATTCATTCTGTTTACTCAGAATTGAAGATAGGAAGAATATAAAGGCAATGTAAGGATTTGTGAAACTACAACACTGTCTTGTAATTATTAAACCATCAGAGTAGTGATTCTGACTTTAAAATAAAGAACCATTCCAGTTAGGGAAAATATCATCAGAACCCAACACTAAATTAAAAATCTGCTGGTATAAAGGGACATAACTGAAGAGGAGGGACTGTAAAAAATTATGATGAAGAATTGTGTAACCTATTTCCTAGAAAAGTTGTATGTTCTGGAATGTAATGACATTTCAGACAAACCAGCATGAAACAGGCAGCAAGCAGAGCTCTGCTTGCTGCCTGCTTCATGCCTGTCACATTGCTTACTCTTTGACTCTGAAGATGGAGGACATACATTCCTCTCAAATGTTGGTTGACTGTCACCAGACTATATGGAATTACACTTCAAAAGATGAAACTCTTCATAGGCACTGTTGTGCGAACCTCAAATCCTTGAAAGGTCACAATTAGACAGTTCACTCATAATGTCATTTGTTATATAAGAATGAAGATATCTCTAGCTTGGCAGATCATAAGAAACTCTACTGACTTTCAGCAAACAAAATGTTTATGCAAAAGCACTGCATTTTCAACGCACAGTCTCTCATAGCATTTTTATACAAGGCTTGCAGAACCCAATTCCAAATACGAAGACAAAGGAAAAAGGGAATAAATTTTATACGTGAGTTAAGGTTCTCACACTGGTGACTACGAAGATTACTGTCCTATGGCATATGATACTACAGAGTTTGGAAAACAGGTACCAGTATTTTGGAGAAATCTACTACCTCCATCCCCATGGTAAAAGGGTGAGTCTAGTCTGAAAATGGACAACAGTACATTGAACACAAAAGAGTTATGTAAAAATGTTCAAATGTTATAGATATGTATCACGCACCTTGTCAAATTGTATGTCACATCTGATATAATTTCATCCAATTCCAGAAGGCCATAATTTGTCAATCTGTCATTGAAGACCTGAAACTCTTCTTGAATAATTTCAGATAACATGTCTTCCATCATTTGATTTGACTATAGAAAGAGAAGCAGATCAACAAAATAATTTTTCTTCCATAGCAAAACAAATGTCAAGTAGTCATACTTAATATAAATTGTCATGTTTATGAAGAACAGTTTTATGCAAGAACTCCCATTCTTTATACTTTTATTCCTAACATAAAGAACAGTTTCTAGCATAGTACGAGTATACTACATCTTGTATCTCTGAAAGAAGCATCAACTGATTATAAATTGTCATTAAAAGGACAATATATAATTCCCTTTATTGTATTCTTTACTATAGCACCAATAATATGAACACAGGTTTGGACCATGTAAGAGCTTGAATGTCTTTTTATCACAAAAATCATTCAATACCCCCAGTTCCTGAGATTCTGCAATGTGCTAACACATATTCAAATACGTAAACCCTGAAAGCAATCAGAACTTCCTAATCATTAATACCAACAAGAATAAACCAATTTTTAAATACTGCACACTAACTAGATAATGCAGAGCCTTTCTCAACAAACAGAATCATCTCACTCTCTTACCATCAGATTTTTAACTGCAACATTAGTGATCACCTCCTGGGAAAACGGAGTCTACATTGCTGACTAATATGTTATGCGCCATACAGACAATATATATTTCTTAAAGTAAATACTGTTCCATGTAGACTCATTTCTAGGCAATGTCCAAAATACCCACACGCAACACTGGAAAAGGTATTGGAAGAAGTGTCTTCCGTGTGGTCCAAGCCATGCTCAATGTTGGGCAATGGGCCAATAGACATGCATTCTGACACATGACACATGTGTTCCATGGGGTCTGACCCAAGTCTATATAACAAGAGTCTATAGCTACGAGCATATTAGAGAATTGGAACTGGAAAGTTTTAAGAGAATTGCTGAAGAAGGATTAGAAGTCAGCCTGTGAAGAATTAGTGTGTGATTAGAAGATTTAGTCACTGTGAGACTCTTTTAATTCCACTATCAGGGTATGACTAGTGAAGACTGAGAATCCCAGTGCGGGTGCAATGGCGAACTGTAAATTATGTAAATCGGTGATAACACTGCATTGCTTGTAAGTATGAACTGATTGTATAAGATGTTATTAAATCCAATTACCACTCCAAACCCTATCTACACTCACTAATACACATGACAATATTATGACACCTGAAAGCCGGAGCAGTGGAGCCAGAAGAGACATACACTGCCAGGCAATGGCTAAAAGTGGTATTTTCTATGCAGTCCATGGCAAAGTTATGCAATAAGGGCCAACAGGATCAAGACAGTCAGTAGTCTGTAAATTAAAGGTAACAGGCCAGTCAGGAGTTTTTAAGTTGAGAGACAGAAAAATATGGGTCATGGGTCCCACAGGACACTACACCAAGAATGTTCATGCTGGTGAGGGCAAGCAGTTATTTACCAGACATACAGAGAGGCAAGCCTACCTCCTGTGATTCAGGAGTAGGCATTCAGTCAGTAGTTAGTGGTTAGCTATGAGCATGGAAATGGAAAACAATGAAAACATTTGATTTGTTGACATTTGTTTATTCTAAACCTTCAACTACAATTCTCTCACAAAATTTTAGTAATAAATGTCTCCCTTTCACTAAAACGACTTCCTGGACACGTTCTGGCATTAACTCAAGCAGTTTAGAGCAAAAGTTTTTCACTCCACTGTCATGGAACCACACTTTTATCACATTTAGTACCATACGTTCTTCGTTTGAAGAATCCATTTTACCCACACATTTCATTATTCTCCACAAACTTTCGATTGGGTTCATGTCTGGGGAATTACTAGGCCAATCGAACCTGCTGATTTTGTTTTCTTCAATGAACTTCTTGATTGTTTTTGGGTTGTGGCATGGTGCATGGTTGTGTTGAAATGTCCCTTTACCATCTACAAAGGTCTGCAGGAATGGTAAAACCCTACTTCCAAGGATTCTGATGAATTCATCATGCCATAAACTTGAACTAGACTCCCCTGACCACCTGCAGTGAAGAAACCCCAAAACATTTTTTAAAGGTATTTTACAGTCTGCTGAAGATGCTGCTCTCACTGGGTCATCACTGATTAGTCTGACAACACTTGCTCTGTAACCTTGAACAAAAAATGTCATTCATCACTGAAATCCACCAGTCATCAGTTGTCCACGATCTACACTTATTTGCTCACACCAACCATTTCTGCTACATAGAAGATGTCAACAATGCTTTTTATTGGTTTTCTTGCCGTCCACCAACTTCAAGAAGAGCACGCCATACAGTTGAAGTATCAATGTCAATCCCTGAAGTCAACAAATCTCTTTGAAGGTCCTTTCTTCTCAGTGTTGGATGTAACCTACTGTTTCTCAATAGAAGCTGATCAGTGGTGTCTCGTTTTCTTCTGCATTTTCCTTTTCTGTTAGGAGAAAGTGATCTGGAATCCTTGTACACACAAAGAATTCTTGACACACTCAATTTTCCCACAACAACAGAGGAAATTCCTCTCACAGTCACTGATGCGTGTTCATTAAGAGCATCAATTTTTGTCCACTTCTTCAGAGTAATGTCCATTCCCACACTCACAAAAACAAAAATTATCCCAGGGTTCAAAATCAACATACAATTGCAAAAGACACAAGCTGCCAACTGATGAAGTGGCAACCTTTCCAGTCAGAATAAGTCAGAACCAGTTTGCAAACCAGTTCCTATTAGTCAAGGTCATGCATTCACAGAAACCTGAGGTAAACAACCAGGTTTTAACTATCAACAAACAGAACTTGATTTTCACCAAAGTCCTTGTCCCAATTAATTCACACTACAGTATTTTCTTCTGCAATGCTCCCAAAAAAAAGGCCAAGGAAAGTCACAGACATGGCACTCTGAATTTTATAGTCTGTTAAAAAATATGGATCCCACTAGTCATGAAGCAATAATGGCACATAACACACAGATCTTTTGACCAAGAAATGGCACTTCAAGAGTCTGTGTCAGGTTGATACTGCTACAATACCAATTATTCTGAACACTGATATACCAACTCAAATGCAACCAAGCTTCATTAGTAAAAATTAAGTCTTGGGCAAAGTACACTGCCCCACTGCCTGCAGAGTTCTGTTATAAAAATTCACTCTTGTCTCATATAAACACATTCTTCAATAGCTTCAACCTGTCTAATTTTATATGGCAGTAGACATAACTTTTTAGCCACTCTCCATGCTGTTGTAGTTGAAACTTGTGCCTCTTGAACCAACTGTATCAGGGATTTGAAAGTTAAACGTTCTAATCTGGCTTCGATTTCATTAAGCTTTTCCTCAGCACAGTATTCTGTCAAGCATAATTCTTCTCCCAAGAAGACCCAGTTGAATGCACTTTCTTCACCAATTCAGAAATCATTGAGGAAGCTGGAATTTGAATATGAGAACACTTACGGTGAAACCTTCTTCTATGTGATTTATATGATCCATTTTTCATGTAAGTAAAATACAGAAAACCCGTTTGAATTCGGTAATGTAAATGAGGACATGAAACATGTGTGAATGTCTTATGTGAACAGAAACACATGGAACACTGATAGGTTTTAAAACAAGTCATTTCCGGTTGCAGTCATGGCATAAAAGATAAAGAGTAACAGAGACACTGTGTATCTTATAGTCTCTATCACTGTTCATGCACTGCCTTCAGCAAATTCAGTTACTGACAGAATATTCTGCTCACATTGGGGAAACCCAATTCAGCTGCTCAACAAAGACATTGTATAATACTGCCAAATGAATATATTGTAAAGTGTTGGTGACCAGATATGGGGTTTGGATTGAAAATTGGACTTATCTGATGCTTTTAACTCGTAACTACAAATGGTTATAACAGTCTCACTAACTTATGCACTACATAAATCACTACAACTACAGCACACATCAAGTTATTCTATTGTCACTAGTCATTCCTAGCAAATGGCTGCTAACAAGATTCCTCGCAGCTAACCATAAACTGCCACTGTCCGTTTGCAACTCATGACAATGACAATGACCATCGCCTCCAACCTCCAACTGACTAACTCTTCCCATAGGTACTTGCTATATAGTCTTGGTGCAGACCACACAGAAAACATTTCCAACAGTTCCTCTGTTCTCGTGTGTTGATTCGTCGCTGCAGAAACATATTTACTGTGCCGCTGGCCTAGCAGTAGTGACCTCTATTCATTATCTCTATTCACTATCCCAGCTTCCAGCAGTCATGTCACAATATAAAACATTCTGAATTAATCACTAGTGATTATCAGATCAATGACATATTACTCATTCCAGTGTTTATTTGGATGGTTGCCTTCTATCTGGCACCCCTTAACATCCAATTATTCCTGTCATTTCCGACTGGCTACATCCAATTTCTATGAAATGTACACATGGCAGAAACTGCATTCAACTTCATTTTAAGCCTTACTACATAGTTACAAATGCAGTCTCATATTAAAGTAACTGCTAACTACAGGCAACTATAACACTACCACTACTTTTCACACTTAACAAATCATTAGCACATGCTGAGTCTGTCTGTTATAGTCTTCACTAGCTGTTACTCAGTTATGATCCCCAACAATGAAGATTCTTCTGCTCTCATGTTCACATCATTACCAGACAGCTACCATCTCACAACTCACAACTAATTCACTGGCTGGTCAGTCAGTTGAATTGCTGCTGGCCTTTGCCAGCATAGTCATTCCTGGTTTCAGTCTATTCAGCATCCATGACTAAGATGTGTTTAGAAATGAGGCCTCCTCTTCAATGCTGGAAGGGGTCAGTCTGTGTAGGCACTACATTTGCTGCACCACAGTTTCAGCATGAGTATATTAACACTGTCACAGCATCCAGATCACTATGGACTCTGTGCACCCTTTGTCACTGCACTAAGTAACATTCTTCACTGGTCTTCATTATACAGCCTCAGGTCAGATAACACACAAAACACCATCTCCAACAGTTCTCTTGTTGTGTGCTTACTGTGCCACTGACTTGCAATGGACTGTGAGTCTTATTAAACTATTCCAACATGTCACATCACTCCCTCCTTAAGGCTGCTTGTCTTGAGTAGTCTATAGGCATATCACCATTTCTTCTTCTCCAACTCTCAATGGTGCCCAGCCTTCCTTCCTCCTGGGCTGGACCTCATACTGTGGTTTTCCAACTGCACCCTCCTTAGGGCTGCTCCTCTCAAGCACAACTGTCCTCTTAAGGGTACACCTCCAATTGTGCTTCTGTGACCGGCAGCCCCTTATCATCTTCAGCCCCTTCCAGGGGAGTTGGACCAGCATTCTTACATCATCTTGATGGGGAGCTCTGGGACCTGTCCCTGAGAGACAGGGTTCCTTCAAGCTGCACTGCCATGACATATATCACACCTAGCCACTAGCCCTTCATACAGGAGGCTGGACAGGGTTGTGACCTGGGGCACCATAATGGCACTTCCTTATCGCCCAGTCATAGCACATGGTGCCTCAAGTCCACAGATGCACTGTGGGCATGTATGTCAAGTCCCTGGATGAATTTATCAGTGACAGTGAAAATGACCATCCAAATTCTTACAGGGTTCTGCCCCACAGTCAAGGTCACCAGCGCTACCTTCAAGATGGGGAGGGCCTTTCATGATACCATCTGCAGGGCACACTTTGTGGCCAGTCTTGCTGCAGTGTCTGGCCTGGTGATGGTCACAGATGCTCCTGTATCAAGAGTTACAAGATGTGCTTTCCATCCTACCCATCCCTTGGCATGCAGACTTTTATTACCATCCTTATTCAACATGCTGTGTGTATAACATGTGATGAAACTGTTGTTGCCTTACCCATTTCTTCTAATCATTTTTCCAATCTTGGTTAATCTATTTCTTCTCAGTGAAGTGGGGTGTTTCTGGAGGTTGCCCTGTTGGCAATTTCTCCTACTTCACCACATTGCCAACAGATGGTTCATTCCACACTGCTGTACACGGTCCATGGTGAACGCAGTCCTATGGACACTCCAGCCTCACATTCCTGGACAGCTGCTGCATTCCAGCCACCCTTCTCCAGCACCCATCATCTTCTTCTTCTTCTTCAGTTTTACAGGGACAGTTTCTTTTCAAATGGCCAGGCCGTCCACAGCGCCAGTATGCAAGTTGTTGGTTGTCTTTTCGCTCAGTACAGGAGACTGGCTCTCCTAAAATGTCCTGCAGCTCATTTTCCATGGTCTGGCCACAGGGAACAGGGCCTGCAGCTCAAGGTTCTGCCTGAGGGCCTTGACCATTTCCTTGCCTCCCAGGTTCAACAGTTGCTTTGTTTGGGTCTCCTTCAATAATGCTGAATGTTCTGCTTGTTTCCCTCCTTATGTGGTCCTCAGGTAGTGCAGAATATGAGCAGTGGCCACCTGCTTGACAGCAGTGGCAAACTTTCGGAGGGACTCAACACTGCATTGGGTCCTTGTCATCAGCTGATTGTGGTATGCTGTGACAAGATTCTGGTCCCCAAAGCTGTCCTCAAGGGCCTTGATGATTTCATACACTCCTTTCAGGACTCTGTATAGGACATCGTAAGCCTGACTTTGCAGGGTAACAGATGTGTGGCTTTTATGTAGGGCATTCACTTACAGTGCCCTGCAACAGCCTCAAACTGGCAGTGAAACACAGCTCAGGATGTTGACCCATTGGACTTTGGTGTCTCTACTCTACTGGTATCAGGTCCTGCACTGCTGTCAACTACCATGCTGCTTAGGTCTCAATTTCTACTTAGCCTGGCCTCGAGTCCATGCCATGTGGTCTCTTCTAGGATCAACTCTGTTTGTGTCTCAATCTGTATCACAAGGCTGATCTCTTCATCTGCATATCATGGGAGACCTTAACTACCTGTAAGTCCACCTGCATTTCATCAATTTTTAATTAAGTTCCTTGCAGAGGTCCTGTGTCTGCTGGTCTACAGATGTGATGCCATCTACCATCCAGTTTTTTATGGTCTCTTCCAGCTCAGACGAATTGAAGTTTATTGTGGGCTCCATTAATTCTTGGCTAGCCCTCACCACAGCTTCCACAATTTCCTAGCTGCCTTTATCATGGACTTCTTGATTGTCCCATATCTTTTTTTTTTAAAGGTCCCCAGGATTTCCTGAGAGGCCATCCTCCCTTTTTGGCTGGTTTCCACTACTTTCATCTTTCCTTGCCTGACATTTAACATTTCTCAAACAACCTCTATCACTTCTAGGCCAGCACTCACTGTGGCTTCCAACTTTTCCTGATTGGTCTCCATCTTTTTCAAGGCCAGCCTCCATCCTGGCTTCTATCCCTTCCAGGACAGTTTGGATGCTTGTGTTTCCGATTCACCAATGATTATCCATCACATGTTCCAACTCAACGATGCACAATTCACTATGTCCAGCAATTCAATCCTACACCACCTCTCACACCAGTTGTCATATGTTCTGACTAGACATGGGGTTTGGATTGGTAATTAGAGTTATTGAACACTTATAACTTGCTACTGTAGAAGTTTCACCAGTCTACACTCTACAATTCACTACTCCAAATACTACAGCTTCTATGTCTTCACCATGCATTGCTCCGTAACAGCCCCCAACAATGGGAATTGTTCTCCTCTCATGGTTATGTCTTTACCAGCAGGCTACCATCTCACAACTCACATCTAACTCATTGCTTCACTGGTCATTATACAGCCTCCAGCTGGACCACACAGAAAACACTGCCTACAACAGTTCTTCTCTTGTTGTTTATCTACTCTGCCACTGCCCAGCAACAGATGACATTTCTTGTTAAAATATTCTGTCGTGTTACAATATGCATTACAGGTCAGCCTGAATTCATAGAAGCATCTGATCTTATGTCTCAGTACACTCTCACAAAACATGACCATAGTTACCATGGTTACACACTATACACGGTCTGTTCAAAAAGTTTCGGAACTTTTGAAACAGTGTACCAACTCAACATCTTAGCAATGTCAGGTAAGTTGTGCTGCCTAGTGGCATGCTTCCTAATTACCATCCTTTTTGCCCTATCATCATGCTATGATTATTCATCACCCTAGAGTTATTTGTTCACTTGTGTGTAGAGTGTGTCTTGTGATATTCAAGATGGCTGATATTCATGAGTAGTGTATTAACATTAAATTTTGTTTCAAACAAGGGAAAATGTTTATGGAGACTCACGAAATGATGAAAAGTGTTTATGCTGATGAGTACATGAGCTGTACATGTTGTTATGAACAGTTTAAGTGATTTAAGTATGGTCAGCAGCCAACAAATGATGAACCACATTTGGGAAAGCACTCAATATCATGTGATGACACTCATTTTACACAAGTTCATGAAATCATGCTTTCTAATAGTCATCTGACAGTGTGGAAAACAGCAGAAGAGTGCAACATATCGAGAGGATCATGTATGGCATTCTTAGGACAAAATTAGAAATGCACTGGATAGTTTCAAAGTTTGTCCCAAGACTTCTGACACAGGATCAGAGGAACAGTCGTATTGTCATCTGTCAGGAACTATTGGATCACGCTAGTGAGGACAAAAACTTTCTGAAAAGAATTATGAAGCATTGGTTTATGGATAGAATGTGGAAACAAAAATGCCGTCTTCACAATGGGTTGGAAAAAATTCACCAAGACCAAAAAAAAAGGGTGGCAGGTCAGGTCAAACATGAAAGTTAGGTCAATGTTTTTCTTTGACATGAAGGGTGTTGTGCATCATGAATTCTTACTTCAGGGGCAAACAGTGAATCACTGGTATTATCTCAAAGTGCTGAAAGATCTAAGAGAAAACGTCAAGAGAAAAAGACCTCAGTTGTGGAGAAACAACTCCTGGTTCCTCCATCATGACAATGCACCAGCTCATGCACTGCTACTGACTCATGACTTTCCGACCAACACGAACACAACTGTGCTTCCTCAACTAGCATACTAACCTAACCTGGCTCCAGTAGACCTTTTCTTATTTCCCAAACTGAAATCCACTTTGAAAGGATGATGATTTCAGACAATTCAAGATATTACAGAAAATTCACAGACCTAGTTATATGTGATCCTGAAAAAAAGTGTACCATGGCTGTTTCCAGGATTGGCAGCAGCATTGGGAACGGTGTATCACTGCAGGAGGGGAGTACTCTGAAGGTAATAAGGCTCACTCAGTTATACACATATACAAAATAAAAATAAAAGGAAATATATCCAAAACTTTCTGAACAGACCGTGTATAGCAACACTTGGGCATTCCAGTTTTACTTAGCTATTTATGTATTAGTTGCAACACCAAAGAGTTCAATAGACTAAACATTAAAGATTAAATTTACAACCCCATGAACATGAGATTGTTAACACATGCCATAATACCTTAATTTTCATAGGAGAGAAGTCAACTCTTACACCACTACAACTGTATCTATTTTACAACCATAAAACAGTGACATTTTCAAATCAGATATATTTCCGAAGAAGAGTTTTATCTTCTGAAATGTAACACCATGTAGTCCACTGAAAGTCAACAACATTCCTGGAAAAGTGTCACCTTCAACTTTAGGTTAGAAGAATAAAACAAGCAAGAAACCACAGAGAAGTAGGTAACAGACAGATCCTACCTCACATTGGTTTCCTGCTCGGCTTATTCTTGAACCTAAAAGATGGAGGTGGCATATTCCTCCAAATACTGGTTCACTTTCAATGGCCTATATGGTATTATATCGGGAAGACTTATTTCTTCTTAGCCACCACTGCAATAACCTCAAATCCTAAATATACTTCACAATTTCAGAATGCCGATATTGAAATGGCATAATGTAAGCTAGACTTGTATATGTAGATCTGAGGCTCTCACAGCAGGGTCATGATGAGTATCTACCATGCAGTCCAGACTATATGCTGTTATATCCCAGAAGACAACAGTATTCACAGTTTCCCATGTACCTTCCATGTTTCAGCTTCCTCTATAGCTTGCTCTTGATGGCGAATTCTCTCCAGTTCATTCATTTTTGCAACATCATCAGATACATCACACTCCTGTGCATCCCTCTGTTGTGAACACTTCAATGTTTCTACATTAACTATCTCATTTAGAGCATCAAGAGTCTTCTCGTTAACAAAACCATGGATATTGAAGCTGCAGTGTGGTTTGTAATTTTCAAACGTGTGTGATGTCAGAGGCGCACCGTTCACTACCTGTTAACAGTCCAGGATACAGTGATGTATTATATCAAAATTAACTCAAATCAATACATCTAGACCTGAATGCGGAAGTGAGGCAGTTGGCACTCCTGCTTTACTTTCAGAATGACAAAAATTCATTTTTGGCCCAGTGGACAGCTAAATTAATTTGCTGCTTTTCTCAGGCCTTCCAGGAAAATATTAGCCACAACCACTTCCTTAAAACATTCCTCCAAATTGAAAGTTAATCCTGAGGGTTGGTACCTTAATATTACAGGAAGATAAAGAACCCAATGAACCAGACAATTATGCTTGAAAAGATAAAATGACCAGTTGAAGAGAGGAGAGGGGAAGCTAAGAGCAACCTGTAACACAGGATCTCACTCCATGAAGAGGGAAGATGCAAAAAAAAGAAGATAATAAATATGTCATTCAATACTATATTATCTGTGCAGTTGAGAAGTTGCTGTTACAAGGGACACCAGATAAATAATCTAGCTAGCCATGAAACAGCTGAGATAAAATAAGAATATTTTCATCGTTTCTCAACACAGTCTTAAGTTTCTTAAGTTCTTCACACATCCTCTAATTCAAGTGCACAGAAAAACTCCCCCGAAAAGTGAACACTTTCTCCTGCTTCTCAAACGTCTCTGAAACAGCACCTGTAAGTTCATCACTGCTTGGACAGCAACATCCATGGAAGCATTCTGTTACTTAATTTTATTTAGACTGATAACAAAGACAAGAATGAAGGAATTAATGAAATGAATGGTAAGACAACTGTTAACTGAAAACTGACCCTAGCATACACAGTGATCACTGATCAAACATCAAACCAAGATTTGTCTAGTGACAGACCTGCATGAGCTTCCAAGAGTTTTACCTATATATATATAAATGAGAAATTTAAAACTGACCTCTCCCACTGAACAAGTTCTCTTCATTTCAATAAGCAACATAGCACGACCCACAGGTAACTGATGAGAAGGATTGTGAAGCGAATCTTTGCACAGTATAACTTCAGTGTTGGTAGAATTCACTCCCAACCCATAATGATCACAGAACACTGCAGCATCCCTCATGTTCTCAAAAGCAAGCCATCTTGTAAGATCACACATTGCTAACTGAAACAAAACAATCTGCATATTAACACAAAAAAATTAACTTAGAATGAATATTTATGATCCAAAAGAATGGTAAAATACCAAAATTTACTTTTTTTAAAAGCAAAATTATTCAAACTCATTTTTCCTACTGTATGATACAGATGACATACCACACCACCAAAATGACAATACTTTAAAACTAAAGAGAAACACAGTTCTTAACAATTACATTTAAGTTTTATTTACTAGTGAAGTTAATTCAAAACTAACTGAGGGCACATTATAAAAATGTTTATAAGAGACATGCACATGTCTCAAATTTTTCAGTTTCCAACAATGAGAATTTTCAGGTAACTATAAAATTTTTTGATAAGTAGCATACAAACTACCTAATACACAAGAGGTAACTCTATCCCCATAACAGGCCATAGGGTTGTGAGGTGCTGAGGCTCCCACATTTTCTAGAATATCGGTTCACAGATGGCAGTGAGGTTATCAGCCTTATGTGCCAGCCACCATTTACCCTAGGAAGATTCCAGGTATTCATTTCTGTTAAAGGCTGAGTTGATCCCAGGGCCACAGTGAGGCTGGAAAGATTAGGTCAATTGAAAAGTCCAATGACCTAATCAGGAATCAAACCCGTGACCTCCCAGCTTGTAGCATAGTGCCTCAACCAAGTACACTACTGTGTGCCTCCTACCCAATACATATGACTCATGACTGGAACCATGTTAGGTGGGTCCCTGGTCACCGCAACATGGCGCATCCTCAAGTTGCAAATGGAGGAGACGGCCTCCAGATATAGAGTAGCTGCAAATATACTGAATAAGCAGTCATGGACAGTCGAAAAGGGGAAGTCCTAAGCTTGGGGGTTGGGCATAATGGCTAACAACTCATCACCATAAAAAATAAGCTCGGTACAAAATGTTACAAAGTTACAATGTTACTTGGAGAGATTCTTTGGAAAAACAAACCTAAGCCAAGGAAAATGAACATGACATTTGATATGTGGAATGTAATACGTCTGAACAGGTCAGGTTTGCTTATGATACTTGCAAAAGAAATATAAAATATAAGTTAGATGTAGTGGGAGTACAGCAGATCAGATAGGACAGAGGTAGCATTGAACCAGCAGGAGAATAAGCAATTTTCTATAAAAAGGGAATGGGAATAATTAATTAGGTACAGGCTATTTTATACATAAGAGAAACATATCAGCAGTTAAAAGGGTAGAATACATTAGTGATACAATATTGTACATAATACTAAGAGGTTGCTTAAATGAGGAATAAGAACATGTATTCTATAAATTCCTTAATACCATATGACAATTCTGCTAGGAAATTTCAATGCCAAAGTATGTAGGGAACGTATTTTCAAACAAACAATTGGGAACGAGAGTCTCCATGACATTACTAATGATAATGGAATTACAGTAGTAAACTCTGCCACATCCATAAATCGGACTTTCAAAGGTACAATGTTCCCACATCATAACTTTCATAAATTTACCGGGACACTTCCTGATGGAAATTCTCACAATCAAATTGATGATATTTTGAAAGAAGGGAGATGGCATTCAAGTGTACCAGATGTCCAATCATTCAGGGCAGCAGATTGTGATACTGACCACTATCTGGTGGTGGCAAAAGTTAGGGTGAGAGAGTGGCAGTGAGTACACAAACAAAATACAGATTTCATATGGAGAGGTTCAATATCAAGAACTTAAACTAAGTAGAGGGTAAATAGTAGTATCAGGTTGAAATCTCAAACAGGTTTGCGGCTTTGGGAAACTTAGATGCTGAGGTGGATATTAATAGAGCTTAGGAAACTGTTAGAATATCAAAATTTCAGCCAAAGAGGGCCTAGTTTATTACAAATTGAAGAAGCTTAGGCCATAATTCAACAAATGATGCTCAGAATTATTAGATCAAAGGAAACATGCCTAACTGCAATGGTTACAGGATCAAGCGAAATAAATGGGGATAATCTGAACAACATAAGACGTGAAGTCAGCAGGCATTTCAGGAATGAAAAGAGGGAATATCTGAAAGGAAAAATTGATGAGCTTGCAACAAACTTAGTATACTGGTAGACCACAATGGGGACACTGACACAGGGAAACATGACGCAAACTGATAACAGCCACAAAATAGCTGGATAAAAATTAAATTAACAACTAGCATGAAGTAAATAATGATGTGCACGAGGGAAGCACGGGAAACAAATACAGTGCAGTGGTCTCACTCGAGGATAGAATTCACCTGATGATGACCCAATGAGGCCGAAACATGTTGTGAATATATATTAGTAAAAAATACATGTAAAACCAAGACAATTTGAGGAGTGTGAACATTCACTTTTAATGTGTAAATTTATGTACTACGTAAAGGCCTATGGGCATTTTATTGATTTGAACTGTCATAGCATTAAAATGCATTTTTAGTGAACAACATATTCCTAATGTCTTTTTAAAGTTGTATTATTGATGGATATGTTAGTAAAATATAGGATGATGCAACAAACAGTAGGAACAAGAACATCAGAGACTTGTATGGAGGAATAAGTGACTTTAAGAGATAGACTTGAAAGGATTCTGACAATGGTGTATGCTGTACAGAACTACTAGGCTTATTTTGGACTCTATCCATTGTCTGATATATATATATAAGACAAAAGCCACAACATTTCAGAGACTGGATCTGTCTCCATCCTCAGGTGGGTGTGGCAGGATAGACCTACTCAGTTGGGCCCGTTAGAAAGAGCTAGTCTCAATCACTGGACCAGTAATTGAGACCAGTGAGTCTCTGAAACGTGATTTTTAGTCTTATATATACCAGATGATACATAGAGTCCAAAATAAGCCTAACAGTTCTGTATGACTTTAAGAGGGGTTACGAACCCAGAAGTAACTTAGTGAAGGATGAGAATGGTGATCTGCTTGCAGCTTCCAATAACATTTTGAACAGATTGAAGAACCACTTCTCTCAGTTATTGAACGTACATAGGGTCAGTGGTGTTAGGCAGATAGAAATACATACAGTTGAGTTAGTATCTGATCCTAGTCCCTTTGAGGCTGAAACTGCCGTTGCAAAGTTGAAATGGTATAGATCACCAGGTGGTGATCAAATCCCAGAAGAACTGAATCAAGCAGGAGGTGAAACATCGTCTGATATCCATAACCTCATTAATTCTATGTGGAATAAGGAAGAACTTCCTGATCAGAGGAAGGAGTCTATTACTGTACCAATTTACAAAAGGGTGATAAAATTGACTGTAGCAATTATTGTGGGACAACAATGTTATCAGCTTCATACAAAATTGTATGCAGTATCCCTCACTCAACGTTAAGTGCATATATAGATGAAATAACTGGGGGACCATCAGTGTGGCTTCCAATATAACAGATCAACTACGGATCAGATTTATTGCATTCGTAAGATACTGGAGAAAGAACGGAATTACAATGAGGGAGTATATAAGGTATTCACAAACTTTAACAAAGCCCATGATTCAGTTATGAGAGAAGTATTGTACAATGTTCTAATAGAGTTTGATGTACCCATGAAACTAGTTAGGCTGATTAAAATGTGTTTAAATGAAACATATAGTAAAGTCCATACAGGTAAATATTTGCCTGATAAATTTCCTATCCAGAATGGTCTAAAACAAGATGCTTAATCACCACTTCTTTTCAACTTTGCTTTAGAACATGACATTAGGAAGGTCCAGGAGAACCAGGTGGGATTGAAATTAAATGGGACACATCAGCTGCTGGTCTGTGCTTATGATGTGAATCTACTGGGAGATAACATTGATAAGGTTAAAAAACACAGAAACTTTAATTGACACTAGTAAGGATGTTGGTCTAGAGGCAACTGCAGAGAAAACTAAGTACACATTCCTGTCTTATCATCAGAATGCAAGGCAAAATTATGGTATAAAGACAAGTAACAGATCCATTGAAAATGGGACACAGTTCAAATATTTGGGAAAGTCAGTAACAGATCAAAATCTGATTCAGGGGAAAATTAAGATGAGTTTGAATTCAGGTAATGCTTGCTAACATTCAATTCAGAACCGTCTGTCTTCTTGTCTGATGTCTAAAAACACAAAAAATTAGACTATACAAAACTGTAACTTTTCCTGTGGCTCTGTATGGGTGTGAAACTTGGTCTCTGATGTTAAGGGAGGAACATACACTGATGGTGGAAACAGGGTGCTGAGCAGAATATTTGGACCAAAGAGAGTTGAAATGACAGGAGGTTCAGGAAAACTATATAATGAGGAGCTTCATAACTTCTACTCTTCGCCAAGTACACGGGAGATTCAGTAAATATGCCACAAATGGAAGTAAAACAGCTGTAATGGACATAATATGTTTTCTGTGTGTATCACCTAAGATATATATAATACTAAAAGGTCGCTACTGTGATATCATTGTTCTGAATGTTCACACCCAAAGAGAAGATAAAGTTGATGATATACAGGACAGGTTCTACAAAGAACTAGAACATGTATTTGAAAATTCCTGAAGTACCATATGAAAATTTTGTTAGGAGAATTCAATGCCAAAGTAGGGAGGGAAGACAATTTAAAACCAGTAAATGGGAATGAGAGTTTGTATGAAATCAGTACTCCATCAACTTATTTGGACATGTCCTGACAGGAAGATATACCATTAAATTGACCATATTTTGATAGACAGGAGACGGCACTCAAGTATACTCAATGTCAGATCAATCAGGGAAGCAGATTGTGATACTGACCACTACCTGGTGGTGGCAAAGGTTAGGAAATGACTGGCAGTGAGCAAACAAACAACGCCCAGCATTAATATGGAGAGGTTCAATCTCAAGAAATTACATGAGGCAGAGGGTAAAGAGCTGTATAGTGTTGAAGTCTCAAATTGGTTGGCGGCTTTGGAAAACTTGGACGCTGAGGTGGATGTTAATAAAGCTTGGGAAACTATTAAGACAGGATTTCAAAATTTCTGCCAAGGAGAGTCTAGGTTACTA